CATCCTCAGTACAACACGACAGGGCTCAGTCCCAGACTGGAATTACTTGAATTTCAGAATGTAAATTAAGGGGCACACAGATCCAGAAAAGGCTTTATTAGGAATGTTTATGGTACAGTGTTGCAAACTTGATTTGCACTGTATTTTAAACAGAGTTGAAAACCCAAGAAAGCCAGACAACAGGCTTTTTGGCTACCAAGTTAGAGTAGCTACACATTATATACAAACTTAGCAATGGTTTCCTGGATTGCAAGACCCTGCCACACTGAGTTAAGCCAGACCAACTTGCAAAGGACATTTTTCCATGTTACCAGAAGGGTTCTGAATAACAACCCCACTTCCCAGGTACCACAGAGCAGCTCTGCTGGCCTGTTCTCTCCTCCTCACGCGCTGGGGGCATACTGCATGGCAAGTCGCTCAAAGTCATTCTCCTTCAAATCAGAAGCAAAAATAAAATGAACAAATTTCAAACTCTACAGCAATTCACTAAGGCAAAAGGAATTCTAAAAAGCAAACTGTCTAGGCCTGTTCTCAATTATTTCAATTTGTTTCGCTCTCCTTTCTCCATTATCTTTCTTTGCCCATCCCTTCAATCCTCTCTCATCCAGAAGATTTCCTCTGTTTAAGCACAGTATCCCACACTAACAAACAAGTTTGTAGTCTGGGTTAGATGTACCTCAAAGCATTTATTTCCAGATGTAACCAAATTTGGGGTATACTTTGTATATATACACTCAACCTGGATGTTGAGTATTTCCCAACACATCTCACAAGGGTTAGAAAATTTGCTGGCAGTGGTGAGACGCTGAAGAAAGAATATGGACCTGCCTATTTAGAACTGTAATCATGTTTACAGCAACTAATCCCTCTGCCCCATCCTCTTGCTGGTAATCAATCATTATAAACTGAGTTTCATATTGGAAAATAACTAGTACCTTTGCCTGATACTCCTTTATGAATGGATGATTTTTATGTGCATCCTTCAACTGTGACAAATAACGATTTGTAACCTGATGGGATGAAAAAGGGAAAATTTAAATACTGAAATAACATGAAGAAAAGCCAGAAAGTTTAAAACAATACTTCTATGACTTTGTTCTCGATGATGAAGTTCTGATTTCTTCAAGGCTCTAAAGTTAGCAGCCCCTTTTAAAATCAGTAAGACCTTCCATAGCAGATTCAACAAAAAGAGAAAACCAAGCTCAGAACTTGAAGATTTCTTTCTCCAGGCTTTCCTCTGCAGTACATATCACTGTCTACAACAGCTGCATTTCCGGACCTTACTGAATACTGAATATTTCCCATGCCCCAAAACTCCAGAACTATTTTATTCTGTTAACACCAATCCCAATGAGAACACAAGATTGCAAAAGTTATCACGCACAGTAGGAACACACAACCTGTCCCCAGGCTGAGCAGTCCCTGATCTGCTTCTCGAGTACCATAAAATAAGCCTCACCTCTGGTGGTTTGCCCAGGTGTTGTGACAGGACAACGAAGTTGATCAAGGTCTCAGGATGGCCACTATCCTGGAAACAAAAACAATCACCTGTCTTTGTGACTTACCCCTACCACGACTAAGTGTAACAACTGGCAATGAACAATTGAGAAGCCCATAGCTCACTTTACTGGAACAAGTAAAGTAGAAGAAAAGGCAGATATTAAACAGCAACCACTCTTAGGGACATTTTCATGAAACATAATGGTGAAGTTCCTTGCTGTTCTATCCGCTATACATAAGATATATTTAGATTCAGGCTTATCTGCCTGGCAAAACCAGAAAGTACCTTGTCCAGTGCCTCCTGAAGTACTCCCTCTGCATCATCCCACTTGCCCTGAGCCATATAGCAGGCTGCCTGCCCATTAAGCAGGAGGAGAGTGGAGGAGCATTTGTCTGCCATCTCTTGGAAGATGTAATAGGCATCTTGTAACTTCTCACCACCCTGCAAAAGGAGGACACAAGCATGCAGTTTCACTGTGTATCGTTAAGAAGGCTGTATATTCTTTCTGTGGTTGAAGAAAGGGGCCATGAAGTTACTTTGGAGGGTTATAAAATGAAATGAGCTGTCGTCATTCATATGACACAATCTCCTCTAACATGAGAGATCACTGTAAGACTACAGATGAAAGAAACACAAAAACATTCAATACTAAGAACCACTGAAACGATCAAAAGATCAAAGTTCTCATTCAAAGAGAAAAAAAACATTTCAAAAGAACCACTTCAGAACACCAATTTAATGTCTGGAAGAACATTATAATATAATAACGTAATAAAAGATTATGAAATGAGATTTTATAATTGAACCCAGCTACAGACACCTGACTTTTCAAAATGTTCCAGCTTCAGAAAGATTCTAGATGCAGCAGCTTACACTGACTAGAGGGTGAGAGTTTCCCTAGAGGAAAATATGATCTGAAAGAAAACTCAGCCACACGCTTTTGTAGGGCCACAGCACTGTACAAAAGTTTAACAACACGACAAAATGAACACTAAAAAACTCTTAATAGTACTGTAAAAGTTTCTTGCATGCACACCTTGGAATTTACTGAATTTCAGGAGACTGTTTGGTTTCAAACACCTGACATCTGGACTACCAGACATATGTTTTTGGCTGATTATTTGAAGCTCTTCATTACAATACAGTTTCTTGCCAACCAGTTGCAGGCACCAAAAGGTTTAATGTGATATGGTAACTGGGCAAAAGGCCAATTTCTATCTCTCCAGAGGCAAATTTCCTTGAATGGGAAGGCTGATTAAGAACATTTTATTACACTGGAACTGAGTTTAGGTCATACTGTCCTGTTACACAGGGGGTTTGCTTTAAAATAACAACAACAAAAAAAATCAAAACAACAAACTGCGTGCTTTTCTGAAAGCATGATGTGAAAACAGGAATCATGAAGAAGGCACAGTCTTGTCTGAGTGCTGTTTCTCAGATACTGTAGGCTAGGAATACTCACTATAGCCAGGTTCACCCAGGCAGTAGCCAGCTGAGTGAGGGTCGCATCTTCATCTTGCTCCTGCATCTTCTTAAGTTCCTTGCTGCAGATGCAAAAGAGGGATTTGCATAAAAGGAACACAAGGCCTGTCTCACAGTTCCCTAAGACACAAACAGAAGGCTGTAGTTTCCTTTGTCAAGCTCTTTCACCTCAATAGCAAAAAAGCCATAGCAAACTGCTTAACGAGGCATAATTACCTCCTAATATTTTACCAAGACAAGTTGTGAAAGAGCTCCCTGTTTTACTTCTGTAAGGGAAGGAAGAAACCCAGGCCTAGAGATTCACACCACTTTATGCTCACCATTCAGAAACAACTGGACACAGACAAACTTACTCACCGAGCCAGATCAAGTCTGTCAAGCTTTAGGAGAATCTGGATCATCATCGCCATGCTGCAATGAAGAAAAGCAAATCAACTCTAATGATGGCATATTTTATCATTCCTTGTGCTTTGCTCAGGGGCGTGCTGCTGCTTAGCAGAGATGCACTACCCATATGCCAGGGCCAAGGCATGAGGCAGCCAATAAAGCTGGTAGTGCTCCCAGCAGGACTCAAAGCAGAGAAGCATGCTTCCAGCTGCTCTCCTGGTGTACAGCCATAGTACTCACTTCAGCAATTCTGAATACACACAAATCAATAACCCAGATCCTTAAGTTTCACAGGGGAGCAATACATTTTATACTGTAGGCTGTCTTACTATCACTTACTACTTCAAAAGCAAACCTCTAAACAGTCTCTCAATTGTTTCAAGGCTTTTCTGAGACAAGCCAGACCTTGGGCATTCTATTACAACTCTCCCTAGATAAAAGACTTTGCTAACACACACCTCAGAGATGCCAGATCAAGTTACACTTACCATTCCAAACTTTCCCCTTGATGTAAAGTACGTAGAGCTGCATCAGGATTTTTGTCATGGAAATAAATCGAAGCAGCCATCAGCAAGAAAGTAGTATTGGCCACATCAACACTTTTTGCCATTTTTTTGTCCAAGTCAGCAACAATTGCATCTCTGTAACAGTGTGGGGGAGAATACAGTAATGTTTAAAATGCCCTGCCATCAGAAAAATCTACCTTTTTGTGGCAAAACCACAGCCAGACATAATAAACACTACACTTCTACAAACTTCCCACATAGAAACACGTTTCCTCTCAGACAAAGTTTGATTTCCAACTTATTATCAGACTTACCTTTGACTCTCATTTGAAAGATATTCTGCAAACATCCGCACTGCTTGGAGCTCAGGACTGGCATTGGCTTTAATTTCATCCAGTACAACACCGTATTTTCTCTATTAAAGATAAAGAAGAAAACCTAGAATTTATCACCCAGCTGTGTAACTGTGCTCAGATTCACAACCTGCCCAACTCCAGCCCCGCAGTCAGATTATTCTGCTGCAAACCCAGCGTCTGCAGACTCACTTGGGCAATGTAGGCTCTGAACAAGAAAACGTCCCTCTCTGCTTCCTTCTCGGGGCTAGATGGCTGAAAGGAGGACAAGAAACAAGAACTCTTCTCAGCAACCCGTACACCAAAACCCAACAGGAGGCAGCCAGGACACACGCGAAACCTTCTCCATTTCGAAAACAGCCCGAGCCGTGGCAGGCGAGGCCGAAGGGCGCTCGGGGAGTCCGCGCCGCCAGCGACCGGTGCGGCTGCGAGGAGGCAGCCCCACGGAGAGGCACCGACCCCAGGCCGAGGATCACCCCGGGCCCCCTTCGAACCGCCCCTACCTTGATCCGCTGCGCCTCGTTGATGGCGGCCTGGTAAGCCCCGATATAGAAGCTGTTCTTCACGTCAAAAAGCTCATCCGCCTCGCCGCCCTGCCCGGCGGGGCCCGCGCCCGCCCCGGCCGCCATTTCCCCGCTCCAGACACGTCTCCGGAAGCAGCTGGGCCCCGAGGGCTGCCGGGAGCCACCGTCTCCATGGAAACATCAGCCTCAGCCAATAGCCACGCGAGGAGGATGTGACGTCATCAAGACGCCGGAAGCAACTGCCGGACAGGGCAGGCTGGGCGGGGCCAGCATGAGGCAACCAATGAGAGCGCGAAAGCGGCCGGAAGTCACCGGGGTTGAGTGAGCAGCGGCATGGCTGCGTTCCGGGAGTTGGGGTTGGCTCCATGGCTGGTAGAGCAGGCGCGGCAGATGGGGCTGAGCCGGCCTACGCCCGTGCAGGCCTCCTGCATCCCGCCGATACTGCAGGGTGAGTGCGGTCCCGTCGTTCCCCGTCGTTCCCCGTCGTTCCCCGTCGTTCCCCGTCGTTCCCCGTCGTTCCCCGTCGTTCCCCGTCGTTCACGTTCTCCACTCTTTCCCTCCCCGCTCCAACGTAGGCCGTGACTGCCTCGGTTGTGCTAAGACGGGTAGTGGGAAGACGGCAGCTTTCGTGCTGCCGGTGTTGCAGGTGCTCTCCGAAGACCCCTATGGCATTTTCTGCCTGGTGCTAACGCCCACCAGGTATGGAGCAGCCCCGGGAGTCCCCTGCCTGACGTCCGGTGTCCCCACTTCCCCCACTTAGCCCTACCCTCCCTGCAGGGAGCTGGCCTACCAGATCGCTGAGCAGTTCCGTGTGCTGGGGAAGCCGCTGGGCCTGAAGGACTGCGTGGTGGTGGGCGGCCTGGGTGAGTGGCACTGAGACACCAACACGGGCAGGCTGGGGATGAGCAGAATGGCCAGCGTGCTTCCTTGTGCTGATGTGGCCATGTCCTTCATCTTTGAGGCTGGTGGAAGCCAGAGTGATGTTCTCCAGCCATGCACGCTGCATGCTTATAGGGTTCAATCTCCTGTAACAGCTGCATGTTTCTCACTGCAGACATGGTGGCACAGGCCCTGGAGCTCTCCCGCAAACCCCACGTTGTCATCGCAACGCCTGGCAGGCTGGCGGATCATCTTCGCAGTTCCAACACGTTCAGCCTTAAAAAGCTCAAATTCTTGGTAGGGCAGATTCTTCACTTTTTAAAAAATATTCTTCCCCATTTTTTAAGGCTTTTTATTTTGTAAGAACACTTGCAGGTGATCTCATTTATTTATGGCTGTGCCTAGGTTTTGGATGAAGCTGACCGGTTGCTGGAGCAGGGCTGTGCTGACTTCACGGCAGACCTGGAGGTGATTCTGGAAGCTGTTCCAGCACGCAGGCAGACGCTGCTGTTCAGTGCCACGCTGACCGATACGCTGAATGAGCTGAAGAGCCTGGCCATGAACAGACCTTTCTTCTGGGAGGCTGCATCCGAGTACGTGTGTCTCTGCTCTGCCACACGTGGGATCCTGCTTTTTCTCTGTTATATCCTTACATCTCTCTTACATCTCTCGTGTTCCATTTTCTCTTGCCAAAGCTGTGGATTTTAGTGCTTTATTGTCCCTTTCCAACAGGGTGCGGACAGTAGATGAACTGGACCAGCGTTACTTGCTTGTACCTGAGGCAGTTAAGGATGCATACCTTGTGCATTTAATCCAGACCTTCCAGGATGAGCATGAAGACTGGTCTATTATTATTTTTACCAAAACCTGCAAGTAAGTAGAATTTTTCCTAGTGACGGCTTTTGCTGGAGAGGTGCTTTTGTGATTCTAATTCAGATTCCAAATTCCTACTGTACTGCTGTTAAGCTATGCTGGTGTTTGCTTTCTTAATCTGTACTGCAATTTGGTAGAAGAGCACCTTTTTTTGAGCAGCCTGGGACTGAAGGGCCACTCGGAAATGTAGCGTGCTGGAAGGTCAAGCTACTTTTACTTCCCTGTAGCCACCTTTCCTTTTGCTGATGGATACTGGAAAATGGTGGGGAAGAGTCTGCTCTCCTGTGCTGTTCATTCCTTCAGGTAGCTCACATTACTGGGGACTGAGACGTGGTGCTGGTGACATTTCCCTGAGTGCAAGTGGGAATCCAGTCGCCCTCTCAGGGGTGAGCGAGTGAGGAGTGGGTGTCCTGTTCCCTGCTCTGTCACAGTGCTTCAGTAATTAAGCACTATGGTAATTGTGCTGTGAGGGCTTCCAGAGGAATCCCAGCTCTGTCTTGATGGGTCAGCTTTCTGTTTGCCTGATGTATTTTGATTTTTTTAATTGTATTTTTTTTCCTTTTAAGGGAATGTCAAATCTTGAATATGATGCTTAGGAAGTTCAGTTTTCCTTCTGTAGCTCTGCATTCCATGATGAAACAGGTGGGTGATGGGACAAGTGTGGGAGGTGGGTGCTTCTAGCTGGGTCCCTGAGCCAAACAGCTGTCTGGGTCAGCTCCTGTGGGTCACAGTGTCCCTAATCCAGGATTCTCCTTTTCCAGCGGCAACGATTTGCAGCTCTAGCAAAATTCAAATCCAGCATCTTTAAGATTCTTATTGCTACAGATGTTGCTGCCAGGTAAGAGAAAACCACAGTCTCTGTTGCCAAAGGCCTTGACCCTGCTTTTAAAGCATCAGAATCACTGTAGACATTAGGGTGAGTTTAAGAAGAGAGCTTTAAACTCTGCCTGTGGAGGTAGGACAGGATTGTTTGTTTACCATTACAGAATATCTGTATTATCTGCTGTGTTTTGGAGCCTGTCTGTAGGCAATGTAGTTACGATCCTGTCTTGTACTGCCTCAGGTAGTCTAGCAGGAGAGTGATTTTGACAGAGCTTAGTTTGTTCTCTTGGTCCAGGAGAGAATATCAGGTGACATGTATGGCAGGTCCTCCCCTTCTGTGATTGTTGGAGAGTTGCATGGTATGAGAACTTGTCCTAGAATAGCTTCAGCTTATTAATACACACTCTGTTTATGAGAATATTAGGCTCTTGGACAAAGCAAAGACCAGGAACTTAGATTTTATGTATTAAAATTAAGTTTATCAGCTTCTGTTCTCCCTGCATTGCAGAGGCTTGGACATTCCTACTGTACAAGTTGTCATCAACCACAACACTCCAGGCCTGCCAAAAATCTACATCCACCGGGTTGGCCGGACAGCTCGTGCAGGTGAGTGGGGCAAACTGCACCCCTTGCAGCAGTGCTGCAGCTGGCTAAAAATGGGATCTCAGTGCTGGGGCTGTGCCCCGAATGAGTGTGAGAAACCTTCACAGCAGCTGCAGTACAGTTTTTTCAGTCAATGCCAAGTCTACTCAGATCATTGACTCAGCATTGTGCCTTAAGATTGCAAGGATAGCTTATCTTGTGTCTGATCTGCACCAATACTTAACTGCTTTTTCAGAGCAAATAAAGACCTTTTAGAGCATCCTGTCACCATAATGTGCTAGGTTGACTCATGGAGATGGATGGAATTTGGCATGGGTTAGGCTTCCTTTCCCTCTGCTTGTCAGGATTCGTGTATCACTGTGTTTTCATCATGCAGGTCGGAACGGAATCTCTATTACAATGGTGACACAGTATGACATCCATCTTGTGCATGCTATCGAGGAGGAGATCAGTAAGTGGGGAACATTAATACTACTAAAGTGTAGAATCATTTTTGTGTCTGTGGTACTTGCAGCCTGGATTTTATCAACCAGAACAGCAACGTAGAAATGTTTTTCTTTCCTGTGTAGCCGCAGCTCAGAAAGGAATAGGAGAGCTTGAACCTCCATCAGTTTAATTCTTGCTGTTTCCGTGGAGGAGAAACTCTGTTGAACATACTTTGTCACCTTTTTATTAAAGCAGACAGGTTTTTTTCTTTCTTCCTCGCTATTGTATGTGCTGAGGTGAATGAAAAGAGCACAGACTTCATCCTTTTTTTTAAGAAAATAGGCCCAATAAATGCAACATCTTTTGCAATTCCCATATTAAAAGGGAGGATGTAATCCTTTGTTGTGGGCCTACAGAAGTGACAATGATCATAACAACAACATATGATAACAAATCTACTCGTAGTCAGTGGAGCTGTGTAGATTACTTACTAGTTGAGAACCTGCCTCTGGATTTCATAACCAACTATGTATGTAAATGTCTCATCCTGATTTAGAACTGAAGCTGCAGGAGTTTTCTGTGGAAGAGAAACTGGTGCTTGACATCCTTAACCATGTGAATATTACAAGGAGGGAGTGTGAAATAGTAAGTGTGCAAACATGAGGCTCCTTTGTTCAGAGGACAGGCAATCTTAGCCAGCCAAGAGAGATGCTGTTGACTAATATCAGGTTCTGTGTATGCAGGTTTTCTTGTGAGCACATAATTCAGAATTTTTGTTCCTTTTTCTAGTGGAAGCACTTAAATATTTGCCACGGTGGTGGGGTTTTGTTTGAGTTATCTTCCCTAAGTGAGCTCTGTTACTGCACATTTCTGAGCATTTAGTGCTGCTGAGTGTTGGGGCTGGAGGCTGGTAGCTGGGGGAAGGACTGCAAGCTACAAAATGTGCGCATGCTGCTGAGATTCTGCTGACTGAAGCAGGGCTGCTTTTCTCTGTGTCAACTCAGTACTTGGATACTGATTGCTCTGCTGTATTTTTTCTTTGACAGGAACTGGAGTACATGGATTTTGACGAGAAGAAAGAAATAAATAAGCGGAAACAAATGGTCCTTGAAGGAAAGGTGAGAGTTGCTGCTATATAAACAGTTTTGATCAGTAGCTGGTTTAATGCTCATGACGTGGAAAAGAAACGACAGTTCCTGCCTCACTCCTGGCAGTGCCTCTCCCCTCCTCTGTGGGGTGATGAAGTTTATCTTAAAGGACAACTGATATTGAAAAGTGTGTTGGAATAGTGTCTGACTTCAGCAACCCCCTCAGCCATGGCTTTGAAAGCAGAGTGGCTATCTAGCAAAGGCAAGGAACTGGCACGGTCCCTGGCATATCACTAGTGTCCTGGCATTTGCCATTGCAGGATCCAGATCTGGAGGAAAAAAGGAAGGCAGAGCTGGCCAAGATCAAAAAGAAAAACAATAAATTCCGTGAGAAGGTCCAGCAGACACTGCAGGAAAAGAAGCAACTGCAGATGAAGAGGAAACTACAGAAGAAAATGGAGCGGCGGAACAAACTGCGTGCTAAGGAAGAGAAATAACATCCTTGGCCTCCCACTGATGGAGGGAGTGTGGGAGCTCTGCTGGTTGGCTTGGACTGCCCTGATGTTGCTGCTGCTTTGGGAATACTGGGATCCAAGAGTTTTTATGTGGACACTTTAACCTGAAACCAGTGTTGGAGAGTATGAGGAAGGTGGATGAGGGGAGAAGGGACAGTTTGATAAATGTCCCCATTACTTTTCCTCTCTGTGTAGTGCTGCTGGCTCGGGTCTTTCCTGTCAGGCTCGGTCAATCTCTTGAAAGAATGTCTTTTTCAAGAGTATGTTTCCTTCCTCTGGTAAAGGAGAGGCCAGACCAGAATTCTTGGTGATACAAAGGGAAATAAAGATCCTCTCTCTCTCTTCCCCTCCATTCAGTCAGTTTAATTTCCCTTTCACGGGCTGGTGCTTGCCACTCACAGTTGTTTATATCAACAGATTCTCCCCTGAGCCAGAGTCTAAAAATAATGTGACAGGATGAGCTCAGCCTGTGTACCATAGTCCAGGTTTTTCTGAGAGGAAAATTCCTAGAACACATGGAGAGGTTGTGTTGTGTGGCTGGTCCTGGGGAAACCTCGTAATAATTCTGCTTTATATGTTTAAGTGACTCTTGCCTCTGACTATGTGCCTCAGCTCCAGCTCAGCTTATCCATGTGGACAGTAGAGTCCACATGGGCAGTGTGAGCAGTTTGCTCAGTGACCTGGGCTGCTAGGGACTCCTGTTTCTGCAGATGATCAGTTCAAAGCTCTGTTCAGGTTTCACCCCTAGTGCCTTCTTTAATGTTCAAAACTTCCTCTAATTTGAGACTGAAGAACTGTTATTTCTATTCTCTGGCTTACAAAAATAATTTCTCTGGTCAGCATCCAAATAAATATTTCTGCAACAGGCGACTGGACGTTTTGCATGTGTTGAAGAAGGTCAGTGTTGTTGTGGGAGCTTACAGGAGGGGGCAGTACCTTTTGTGGATAAATGGCTTGGAGATAAAAATCAGTTTTATTTCAATAGGCTGGATGAGTACCGAGCTTCTTGTAGGTCTTAAAGTCCTCAGTCCCTTTGTGCAATCTGAGCCCAGCTCCTTTTCTGGGAGCACGCAGATCCCTAGGGTGCTTTTGCCTGACTTGAGTGTGGTCTGTGCACAATGAGGTCTTGCAGAGGAAATCTGGTGTTTCCTTCAAGAAAACTCCCACAGCCACGCACAGCAGAGCCCCGTGGTCCATTTACACCACGCAGGAGCACAGCACTGACAGGGACTTGAGAGGTACACATCCATCTGTCTGCCTTGTGGCTGGTGTGGAATGAGATGGGTGTGGTACTCGAGTTAGGAGATGCCTGAACTGCATTACTGGCTTTGTCCCCTTGGGTGCCCTCCAGGAAGGAAAAAGCACTCAATAGTCTGCCTCATATCACAGCTCACTGTCACTACTGGCAGCTGCTGCAGCAGCAGCAGCAAATAGGTTTGTATCAGACTGATGCTTTTGGAATACTAAATGCTTCTACAGCTTCGTGCATGCTAATTTGTGGAGCAAGCCTATTAGCTGCAGATTAAAGAGACAGTCCTCTCTGGGACAGGCTGCTCTTGCCTTCCTGGAGAGGGTGCTGATACTGCTTTTGAATGTCAGTTGCTCCCCTCCTCCTCTTGCAAACCCTTCTTAACCTATCTGAAGTCTCTTTGCTTCAGCCTGGTGGGGGGTTTCTCTGTTCATCTCCTTCCAGCAGAATGTGACATGTGGAGTTTGATCAAGGCTCTTGTCTTCAAGCTTTATTCAAAATTCCTTTTAATATATCTCTTGTCTTTCTTGAGCAGCCTTCTCTGTGAAGGTAAGATGTGCTGGCAGTAAGAGCTCTCTGTAGTGCTGCCTAGATGTTCTTGCTCTAGTCAGTCTTGGGAGTGGCCAAGTAGAAAAAGGAATTGCTGTGTCAACTGGGACGTAGAAAGAAGCCTTAAATTCCCAGACTATAATTTACATCTGCCCAGGGCTAAATGACATTGGGTGACAGTGACATTCCTGTATGTGCTGTCGTTACTGCCCTCCAAGGAGATTTTGTTCTGAGGTTTCCAATCATCATCATAAGCCTTTGGGATTCCCCAAGAATATAATGACCTGCTTCTCTTAACAGGCTAGATTGTTTCTTGGCTGTAAATCTGCCCTCCTTTGTAGACAGATCCCCTTGCCTGTTCCCCCAAGCAGGCACTTGCACAGCACTTACAGGGAAGTGTAGCAAGAATTGGCCATGGAATGGCTGTGTCTCAGCACAGCTGCAGTGTACAAGCTCCCCAACTCTGGGAGGGTTTCCCTGGCTGAGTTGCTATGGAAACCCATTTCGATTCAGCATCTCAGATTCTGCCTTCTCTCACCCAGATCATGTATGGCTGCTGAACGTGGCACTGGGGTGTGGGCTGTGCCAGGTGTGTGCAGTGGGACAGTCCTGCTCCTGTGCCACCCTGCCTTATCCTCCTGTCTTGTCCAGGTGTAAAAAGCACATACATCTCCAGCCCCTTGTTCTGACAGTTCTGTGCAGCCTATATGCTGGTGGGTCTGTAGCCAAGAATGACTGTTTTGTGAGTGGTTTAGGAAGTATTTGCCTGTTCCTGGAATATTTGCCTCCCCTGGGGAGGATGTATGTGAGGAGTGCTTCCCAGAAGTTTTACAGGGAGGTGGGAAATGCCATCTCTTTTAAACAGCAATGCAGGGATCCTCCCTGTGAGATGTACAGTATTTGATAAATGCTCCACAATGGTAGTTCTGCCAAACAAGGAAATGTGGATGTGGAGACAGGTTTAGGGATGCAGCAGTTACCTTCAGGAGCTGGCATTCCCTTCATATATGGATACTGCATTGAGCAGGAAAGCTCTGGACTTCTGTGGCAAAGGAAAGACTGTAATTAAAGAGACTTTGAGCTGGGCTTCAGATTTATCTCTGCTGAGACAGCAGAGCTGCATTGGAGTTTGTTTCAGCTTTGCTGCTGCTGGCTGCAGGTGCAGCCATTTCCAGCTGCCAGCCAACACACTTCCCTCTGGCCAGAAACCTGCCATCCTTCTGATAGAAGATATATGCCACCCAGAGGCAGCATTAGCCTGATGCTGCAAGGGTCTGCCCAGCACTACTGCTTCTCCTTCAGGCAGGATTTGCTGCCCTTACACTGGGCTGAACCATCTCATGCCTTTGTGGGGGCTGCACTTGGTGCACCATCTCCATGAGCATTTAATACAGCTCTGTACTTTCATGTGGGTTCTCTGAGCTGCCCTGACATCTCGCTGGTTCAGCTACACTGTCAGCTGCTGCTTTGCCTTTGGATGTTTTCTGTGGACACAAGCTGTTTTGAAAGCCTTAAAAAAAAAAGCTGCTTAATAAGCTTTCCTACCAGAAACAGCCTTTTCCCGGGGGAGCCCTGCCAGGTTAGCCAGTAGATGGCAGTTTCTGTGCTCTGGACACAATGCTGGCTCTGGTCCTTGTTCAGAGGGAAACACAGCACAAGGCCTCTTGGCTGGGTAGATGGATATGAAAGATTTAGTTTAAGAAAACATGGAGACAGTGAGGGAACAGGGCTGCCCTGTGCTTGAGCTTTGCTCATTCAGCAGGCAAGCCCCAGCTGCCTGGTGCTGCTAGCAGGATTATCCTGGGTCAGTGCATCAAGCCTTGGCATTTTCCCTTTACTTGCAGGGCAGTTGTGATTCTGTATCCCTGCAACACTCCATCACAGTTTTGGCATCCTTTCCATTCTAGGGCTCTTCTGCTAGATAGACCTTTGCAGTTTCTTCACTGAAATTCCAAATCCTCTCTTACTACTTACTGAGGGTAAGCATAGATTCCTATTGTAGGATACTGAACTTCCCAGTGTCACTCTTGCACTCTCAGGCCCAAACATCATAACTGTACTGCTTTTAGTAACAGACCACATGAGAGGTGGCATTAATGCCAACAATCTGTATACTCAAACAGTGTTTTCATCTGCCCATAACAAGGTCAGGACTTTAGTATCTCCAACCAGTAAAGCTACAGGGAAATTACTTTTTTCACATGTGCCTTTTTCTGTCTGTTGTCTGACAGGATTTGAAACCCTATTAGCTTGCTACTGGTGGAAACATAAGGCAGAGCCTAAGACAGCATCCCCTCTCACTTGCTGTTCTACCAGCACTTGGGAAAAATAAGCCTGGAATGGCATGAAGGGAGTACTGGGGCAGAGGGACTGCTCTGATCCCTCTGGGGCACACAGGTGTTCCAAAAAACAAAAAATCTGCAAGGTGGGGTACTTAAGAAAGGGGTGAAAATTCACATTTGTGGCAGCCCATGCAAATCCCAGTGACCTATAATAAAAGTGGCTCCAGGAACAGTCAGTGCTGCAGAACCATTCGCTCTGCACCCCAGGGCCAAAACTGATACCAGCCTCCCATTCTCTTCCACCTGGCAATTCCCTACAGCTGAAGTTGACAGCAGCATCTGAGGAAATTGAATTTGGTTCCTTTGATTCTCACTCCCCAGGCTTGTGCTTAGCTGGGGAGCTGGGAGGCTGTGAACACTGAATCAGTTGTGAACTGACTGAAATGTGAAAATGTTGCTCCTTTAGATTACCTGTTGCTAGAGCTGACACATCTATTGTCTGGAGTGTTGTTCTTACTGTAAGTATCTCATTTCCAGAATGATTCCAGCTGCTGCTTTCTTGGTAGGGTGGTGGGAAGCTGATGGAGGAGGTAGGACCTTGTGCAGAGATGATTAGTGCTGCAGCTCGTGTTCTTTTCCCTTGGAGCAGAGACTGCCTTTACACACCACAATCTAATAACGATAATAATTATAAATTACTCTGGGAAAGGAGACTGTGAAGCTCACTAGAGTTTGGGGCTTTATTATGTGCTCATGGACATCTTCCAAAACACACATTTAATTGCCGTGCCTTCTCTGGTGCACACAGAAATTGTTTTCCAGTGCCTGCATGTGGTGGGGGGGGTGGAGGGTTACACTCACAGAGGATGCTTGGCTGTGCTGTCAAGTGTAAACAGACAATCAACTAAAAATAACCTCCCCTCCAAGTAACAGACCATCTGATTTCTGTATCCCAGCCCAGATGCAGGGAGCTCACAAGGGTTGGGTCACCTATTTCGGTGCTATTTAATCACCAATTCCCCCAAGTCTGATCCTTTGGCAGTTTAAGACAAAGTGCCTCGCTGCTTCCCCTCCAGCAAGAATTTGCTTCAATGTGCTCTTACAAAAATGTAGGTATGGAAGTCAGTATGTTAAGCAGCTTTGCTATGAGATTACCTAAAAGCCACATCACACATTATCAAGGGGGCTCTATGGCATTATTTTGGAAAGATTTTACCTCCTTCATAACCACTCACAGACTTAAGGTATTAACCAGCCCACCCTCTGCTGGCCTTTCCTTCCCTTGGCTTTTCAGGCGCCTTGTAGATGCCAATAATTGAGGTCCAACAACCCCGCAGGAAGGTTGGTTACTTTATGGAGGAGGAATGAAAGCCTGGAAAGACAAGGGAGTTTGCAGAGAGAGCTGGTGGCAGAGCTGCTGGTGGTCTGGCATCCTGACTGCCAGGCTTGCTCTAGGCCTGCACTGGATTTGCATTCCTGTTCAGCCCGGGAGGCCTGTATTAGCATCTGTCAGATGGAGTTTGCATTAGACATCCTTCTTTTGAGGCTCTATTATTGGCACGTCCTGTAATAGCAAAGCTTTGTTTCCTCTTGTAGAGCTGGCCAGAAGGGCCTCGTCTCAGGTCCACATTCAGAGCAGATCAGACTCATTGCTGCTACTCCTCAGCACCTTGTGCCAGGAGAGTACGGCTGCAGGAGTTTTTGTTTGCATCTTCATCTCACATGTGAACCATTTTCCCCATGTTCTCTTTATTAATGTTCTGCCTAGGTTTTCTATAAATAATTAAGAACCTCATTTGCTAAAAGAATTAGGTCTCTCAAGGTACCTGCAATCAGTAGCACTTTTCCTCCAGCAAGGAAGCAACTGTTATTTAGTTCCTGACAGTAATTGTTATTGTGAGACAGAAGCAAACAAACTGCAGTCTTGCCATTCAAAACTGGCTTTTGTAACACAAGATCCTCTTCTTTTGAAGCAAGAGAAGCATAAACAGGGAAGGTGTGAGCTGGAAAGGGATGGTGGGGACGGGTTAGAGGGCTGTTGTTCTGGAACACTATGGGATTCCTTTTTAAACACTCATTAGAATGGGGCAGATGGAATTAGTGCTTTGCTGCATTATCATCTCCAGTAGACCTGCCTCATCTCTAACTGCAGATTTAGGGCATTTGTGGAAATAGATGGTGATGAATGGGTTTTCATTAGTTTAGAAGAGGGAAGACTGCAAAGGAAAGTGCCTCCCAGAACCATCCATCACACTGCCCTGCAATGCCTCAGTAAAAGACTTTTAACAAATGCTGAACACAGGACAGATCTCATAAAAAAGCCACTATTCAGATTATTCTGGCAAGGAAGAGAATTGCACCGAGTACCCGTGGGGAAGTGTCTAAAGTGAAATAACCTCTGTTCCTGGTTCTTGACAATGGAAGTGCAAGGAAGCACAGTGAGTGTGACTACAAGAAAAAGCAGGGCACAGCAAATGCATGCGAAGTACTGCTGGCCTCAAGGCATGCTGTGTGCAGGGATGCACGTCCTGCATCCTGTCATGGAGCTGGCAGCTGGGCAGCTCCAAGTTTCAAGAGGCAGACAGCACTGAGTATGGAGGCTTCAGCTTGAGGGCATAAAATACATATAGGACTAGAAGAGGCTTAATAGCATAAGAGCCAGTTCTCACACTGCACTGCTGCCTGACCCTGGGCAGGGCACGTCTTGGGGGGAAGCAGCAGACAGCAGGCACTCTCTGAAGCACCATGCTGCAGCTTGCATCTGCCTCTCTCCCACTCAGTCATGCAGCAGCTTGACTCTCTTGGTCCTCTCCCTCGTCTCTTGGGAGCAGCCTCCCCCAGCAGAGCTGACTCACCCAGGTGTGGCACGTTGGCCAGGTCAGCCCTGATCAATGAGCAGTACAACACAGGCATGGGCTCAGATGCATGAAATGGTCACTGGTCAAATTCAAGAATCTGTATCCAGCTCTACCTTGTGGGTCACAGCCATGGAAAAGAAGTGTGAGAGAGCAGAGACAACCAGAATGTAAACTTTTGCTTACTTTTTCTTTCATACTCCAAGCCCCACCTCCATCACCCCATATTACAGTAACAGATGCAGACGAAACACACCTTTCTTGGAGCTGATCTCTATTTCAAAGAAGGCTGCTCCTGTTGGAATAAAAAGTGAACACTGGCATGGGTTGTGTATACAAGTCCCCAGAGAACTTTGCCAGCCAGCTTACTTTCTTCCCTTCTTAAATACCCTGAAACAAATATTACTACAACAGCTCCACCCCTACACAGTTGTGAGAACACTTCATGCAAAACAAAATAAAATGGAAACCAATAGCAACAAAAACAACAGAATAATAATTAAAAAAAGAGAGAGAAAGAGAGAAAGAAAAACAAACAAGAAAACTAACCTGAAAACTTCCAAACTGAAATGCCCCTCCCTGGCTACACAGGTCTGGAAATTTCAGTGTTTCCTCACCATCCCTGTGCAAGGGATGGGCTTTGCCTAGACACAATCCAGCACAGAGTCACCAGCAATTCTCCACTCCAGCAGATTCCCAAGGTGCCAGACCCAGTCCTGTCCCAACTTGCAGGCAGCGTGCAGAAGATGTGGGTTCCTCTCTTGGTCACCAGGTGAGTGAAAGGAGAGGGAGGCCCTGAGGAACTGCACTGCCTTGATGCTGGTCTGCCCAGGATTGTCTGGATGCAGAGAAGGCATCACATGGCAGCCGGTGCTTGCTAAGTAATTACAGTTTCTGCAGACCTGGGAAACATTCCCAGGATTACTGCTGTCTTTGCCTAATCTATAGCAGCAAAGAGGGCAAAAAACAACCACAAAATCCAAATCAGCACTCCTGTAAGGTTACTATCTACTTCTACACAGACACTGCTTTGTCATTCAGCACAGGGCTATGCATGCTCCTAAGTAACTACGGGGGCTCAAAGGACACCATGAGAGAGACATGACTTTCCAGGTTTCTGCAGTGTCTCCCTCAGGCTTTGCTCAGTTCCTACCAGACAACATCTACAGTAACCCACAGACTTCCCACAGGCCCTACGGGGCACTGGTCCCAGCTTGCTCCAAAAGCCTCCTGTTCTCACTGAATCTGGCTAAGCATGGCAAGCTGGGACCTGTACCCTTCAAAAGGAACACTGCTCATCTGACACAGAGCAGGACATCTCTGTGGACTGTTTCCCTATAAAAGAGAGAGGAAAAAAAAACCAAACAAGAGCAACTGTGATTTGCTCCATTTAATTTCAATTAACTACAGCCCTCAGAGGCCAGGAGAGATGCCAATCTAGCAGTTGGTTGGCCATCCCCTCGGGCACGTCCCATTTCTCAAATGCCCCTTTCCCAACCAGGCCTTTGTTCTCAGCTTAAAGAAGTTTTAAGAATTCATTAAATCCCACTGTGTTAAACTAATAAGAGCTTTTTCTGCAGTTCTTTTTCCTCTGGAGGCTGGAACTGAACAGCACTTGGGCAGACAAGTACCCTGCTCTGCACTGGGGACTCTGCAACCTCTGTAAGCTCCTGACAGCAACCAGTGTTGTTGCATCCTGTTAGAAAGACACGGTGTAGTTAGGGCTGGAAAAGGAGCTAGTGATGTCCTCAAAGTGCTGATACCTCTTTTCCCTCCCTAAGTTGGGAAATAAGCAGCTTATTTTGCAAAAGGCAAGTGGTTCCCTAAAAAACTACTGAAAAAAATGCAAAGGCTGCTCAGCCCCTTCCCCTAGAAAACTGTAAAAATGGAGACACAGTGTGGCAGCAGGGAGGCTGGGAAGGCAGCAGAGGGACAGCTGCTGTCTCTGGACTGTGCCACAGCCACGACAGGGTCCAGAGAAGCCTGGCTGTGACTTGTAGATGCTTCCTGTGGAGGATACAGGAGCTCAGGCCCTCTCTGCTCTCCAGCTCGTTGTTCAGTGGGCAGTAAGTGGCTGCAGCTGGTCACCACACTGTCCAGGCAGCTGCTGGTATGTTGGCATATCCTGCCCAAACAGACCTCACGGCTGTTCTGTGATCAAAACTGCTGTCAGTGACCAGTCCCAGGTCAGGCTCCCCTCCTCCGGAGGTGTCTCCTCTGAGCATGCTGCTGCTCAGTTGCTCTCCACCAGCTTGGCTAGTCCTTGCCGGATCTCACTGAGCTCAAAAATCTTCACGTCCATTATCTCTGCCACCTTGGTGACCTCATTCTGGATCTTCTCCCTCTCAGACAGGGTCTCTGCCAGCGTCTGCTCGGCCAGGTGAAGGCGGCGCTCCAGCTCTGCGTTGCGTGCTTCCAGCTCCTGCCAAAGGACACAATGCAGTGAGGTGGCTGCCCCAGCACTGATAGGTGCTGCTCACAGATCACCACACTTATCTCCACCAAACAGTTCCATCAGCACCCCAGCACAAAGCTGCCCACACCCAGACATCGCAGGTCTGCATCAGCTCTCTCACAGGGGCCCTCCCTACATTAAGCCACAGCCTGCCAGCATGCAAATGCATGTGAACATGTGTCCCCAGACCCAGCCATCTGCATGCGGTTTGAACTGGTGCTATTAACGTGGATTTCCTCACAAACTGATCTTCAAGACATTTGATGGCATTTGATGTTTAGAAATACTATCCTGGCATGAAAAGCAGTGCCTGGGTACAGTGCTGAGCCCTGTGACAGATCCCCTCCTTCTTCAGTTACTCAGATAAGCAAACGCAGGCAGTGCCCCTAGAGACTGCACAGATCGTGCTTCCATCTGTGTCCCTGCCCTGAGGTGCAGAGCAGCTTGCATCCCTCCTGCCAGCCAGACTGAGCCATAACTCTTTTCCCTCAGCCACTGCTGGCCATCCAGCAGGCTGAGCAAGACTTCAGAGAGATGGAAGGTCACAGGATACCACCATCCCACTTGTATCCCACGTGAAGTCTACAGCGAGAGGTAAAGGAGAGCATGTGCAGGTTGGGTTTGCCACTGCCAGCTGATGGCATCCTGCCTAGCACCTCTGAGGGACACAAACTGGGTGGAGGAAGGCAGACATTGACAAGGGCCAGTCCCCATCATCCAGAGACAGCGTTAAGTTTGGCACCACTAAGACATTTACTCTTAAGCTCAAAGGAGAAATGGTCTCTCCACTCCAAGTGCAGAGTTGTCCCAGATCTGCCATCATTACCTGGAGCTTCTGTAGTGTCTCCTCACGCTCGCCCTCTGCTTCCCATCGGCTGCATTTCTGGCTCTTCAGCATCTGAATCTCCTGAAACACAAGGGGGAAGAGCATCACACCAGATCCACTTTTGTCCCAGTAGGGCCAGCTCCCACCACAGATCTCAACAAAAGCTCCTTCCCTTGCTCCAAAGATCATATAACCATACACAGCTCCAAAGTTTGGCTTCCTTAATGCTCTTTTTCAAATTTCCTTTTCATTGCACCTATTGCCTCTCTCTAAGCCCTTGTCCTGTGCTGGCTTATGAAGGCTCCTGGCTTGCATAGCATTGTGTGCAACAGCATGAGGTATCTGATCTCAGAGAAGCTATGAATGACAGACAGGGTGTTGGTGATTGACAGGCCATCCAGATTCAGGTTTTCCTCTGCTTCATGGGGTTATTACCTCATCTTTAGCCTTGATCAGCAGTTCCAGTTCTTCCAGAGTTTGGCTCAGCTCTTCCTTGTTGTTCTCACTGGAGGAGTCATGAGCCCCCTGTGACTCCAGTTCTGCTACCTACACAGAAGAAAGGGAGATATACTTAGAGACACAGGAATGTCCCTACATCTTATTACTAATAGGCATTTTCTGTCACGTTCTGGATCTCTTGCAAACACAACTGAGCTTGCAACAGGGTAACAGCTCATCTCCTGTGGCTGTTGGGAAAAAAATTCCCTCCTTCTGCTCAGCATAGGTCATACACAAACACACACTGCAGAAAAATCCTGGTAAGAGTCTCTGTCTCTGCTTTCTCCTGCAGTCTTGCACTTACAGCAAATTCTGACTAGCTGACAACAAGCACATGAGCCCATAGTTCATAGCAATGGCCAGATCCAGCACCATTTACATCCCCAGATAGATACTGCTGTGGCAAGGGAGTTACTGCAGTTCAGCCAGAGCAGAGCTGGCAGGAAGGGTTTGTCCAAGTGTGCTTCCCATTCCCCAAAATTCAGCCCAGTGGCTTAAATTATTCATGAAAAGGATTCATTTTTAAAGGCCAGTCAGAAAGTCTGCAGCAGCTGCTGATGAGGCCTGAGCTCTCAAAGGGCTTGTGCTGAGCTTTGCAAGTGCAGCTCCAGCACTGAGTACTCTCACATGGACACACTTGAATCCAAATACTTTCCCACAAACAAGGGCAGCCTGCACTAGGATTCATGTAACCATGGCCATGAGCTGTGAGGTTCACACAGTTACAGCCAGAATCAACCAGCTCTGGTCCCAAAATGTCCTGGTGTAGAGACAACTGTCTGGATGTTTCAATTAGTTTGTTTATTCTGTGATTTTACAAAGTGTGCACTGGCTGCCCCTCACTCATGAAAGCCTAACTCCTGTCTCCTGGCTATGAGAACAGCCACCAAACAGCTGAGAATTCACAGAGTGATGGCAAGGAAATGGAAGCTCATGCCAGCCAGCCCTGAAAAATGCACATACGTGTAGGCACAGCCAAGATCTCAGTTATACTTAAGGCAGGCTCCTGTTGCAGAAGAGAAAATTTGCTCTGTACAACTCTTTTACTGTCTGACCCCTCTGCTGAGAATTAGAAAAGGCACAGAATCCTGAGGGATGGTTGTTTACTGCACAGACTGGCCACACAACAGCCATCAAGTGAGAACAGCTGTTAATTGCTATAAAACCCTGCTGTCTTTTGAATGCACAATCTAGAAGTGAAATGCCTTTATGCTTCCTTCTCCAGGGCTCAGAGTCCTTTCCCAGCGGAATTCCAACTGTCCTAACGTGCTTTCTTGAATACATTGCAGTTCCTCCCTTCCAAGAAACCCAACCGTGTGACTGTCACTCCTCTGCCCAGATACACACAGGCCTCCTCAGTTGATCTGCGACCTCTCTGACATTACGTAGGTCAAAAGATCCTATTATTCCAACTGAACAAGTGCTTGTTTGTACTGTGCAACCCCCGTTTCATGATGTTACAGCTTAGATTCCAGCTAATTATAGCAGATAGAGCAATGTTCATCCTTCCTGCCAGCAGCCAAAAGGCTGTCCTGATGCCCAGCTCTGGAGGAAAACAGGCCTTACTCAGCAGTGCTGGCAGCTAGGAACTACCTTGGAGAATCTGAAGGGAAGCCAGTATTCTAACTTAGTGCTCTGGTTTCCTCCCTTTATCTACAGGGACTCAGCACACTCCCAGCTTGCTCTGCAGAATAAAGGAGCTCTTGTGAGAGGTCCCTAGTTGCGTGACCTTATTCCTTGACAAATCTTCCCTGCCAGACTCACACAGCATCCTGAATTTGACACCCATGAAAACTGATGGGAGAACAGGGTCAAGGGCACCATCTGGCTCTGGAACAGGGTTTCCTCTGACCTGTTCCACAAGGGCCCTCCTGTGCTCACCCGCTGCCGCAGTGTTTCCGTCTCCTCTTGATACGCAGCCAGCTGCTTCTTCCACTGGTCCACATTGGCATTGGCTTCATGGAGAGCAGCCACAAGTTTGCTGTTGTTGTCCTGAAGGCTGAAGAATTCAGCTTCCCACTGGACTTCACTCACTGAGCTATGTAAAAGAAAATAGGGAAGCGTGCAGGACAGCGTGAGAGTCTTATTATAAAAGTTTTGTTCCCTCATATTGCAAATGTGCACTGAAATCATGCTCCTGGAAATGCTGGGCAGCTCTCTACCCTGCACAGCTTTTTATTTGGTTTTCATCTCACTTCTCAGATTTAAATGTATCCTCCAATCCTTGAATCTGCTTCTCTTTCCTTTATCCTCTGATAATATTCAACTTTGAGGTCATGTGTGTTTTCGTGAAACTGCAGAAACCACACAGTGAGATTAATGGGGGGGGGGGGGTGAATCCATTTTTAAACCCCTGTTGGATCTGAGTTTGCTTTGTGTAAAACCCTACCACCCAACTCAGGAGAAGGCAGCAAAGGAAATATTCTAAGTGTTCAGCTGGGAGCTCAGCAGGAGCCGCAGGGTAGAATCCAGCCCAGAGTCTTTTGAACAGACAAAGACCAGAAGCAGCAGGGACTCTGCTGGAATCGTCAGAGGAATTAACACAAATGCAGCCTTAGGCCAGCTGGAAAAGTGTGAACATCCTCTGGTATCACAAACTACTGATTTGTAGATAACTGGCGTGAACTCATCCCTGCTGCAGACTCAAAGCATTCTCCTTCCCATCCTGCATGAGTAACAGATTTCATCCCTGAACTGAAAAAATAAAAAACTTTCACCTGGGGAGAAAGGAAATTGTTACAGTGGAGGGTTTGGGCAACGGCAAACTTAGAGCATTCTTTGGCTAACTAAACAAGTATTATGGGGTCAGCAGTTTGACCTCCATCAGATGTCAGCAGTTTGAGCTGAGATCACATGGTTATTTAGGAGCTCCATGAGCACTAGGATAACAGAACATGCTCCAAATCCTGCCAGAACACAGAATTTAGAAGCCAGGAACTCATAGCAGCCTCACCCTTCTGAAAGCATCTTCTTCAGACGCTCCTTCTCTGTGCTTATCTCAACATCAGCACTTTGGCTCCTAAATAGTTTATCTTCTCCTGGTCCATTAGAGCTGATGATGGGGCTTGGAAGTACCTGAGGGATGAGGAAGAGGTGGTTATCATATGGCAGTGAAGAAAAGTGCTGTGGCTACAGGATTCCTGAAAACTCATTCACAGCCTAGGTTCACAGGGCTGGCTCTCATTTCCTGTGTTTGTGTGAGAGACCCTAGCTTTCAATTTCAGCTCCTACATAGTGTTGTGCACAGCATTTACATGACAAGTCACGGCAAAGACCCTCATGTATAGCTCAGCAGAATCAATCATGGTGTAATTATGACTTCAGAAACCATACAGGCACAGGGCTTTCTCTTGGACAGGGAAGCTGGTGTCTGTCCTGCTCAGCTCTTCCAGCAGCTGCTCTGCTCTCACGTCTTCCCTTTCCCTGCCTCCATGCTATGTTGGGGCAGTGATCCCAGTGCACAGACACCCTGAACAGGTGGGCTCACAGCTTGCCCACACCAGCTCTTCCTCCCTCCTGACTTGAGGTACTGAATTCTCTGGCCCTCAGCTTTCCCTTGACAAATGCCAGTGATGTTACAGCCTGTAATTTGAGTCCCATGGCTGTGCCCAACACGCCAAGTTGCTCAAGCTGGCTGTTTTAGGGTTTTACTGAATTCTTAACACGACTTTCTTGCTGGTTCTCAGAGCAGTGCAGAGACTTAATACACTCTGAACACAGATCTAGCTATGCCACCTGGGTTCAGTTGCAACTCGTTTCAGCACACTGAATTAAGACACCATGTACCACTGGAATCGTGGGGCTCAAGGGAGGGAAACTCTGCTACTCACTTTTCAAAGGTGTGGAAGAAAAGACTGATACTCCTAAAGGATACCCCTTTCTCTAATACCTCCCTGTTCCTGAGCAAATCAGGAGATTTGCTCTCCTCTCTCTAGCTGAGCTAGAAGAGATGGATTCATCCTCCCAGTCTGAAGGAAACTGACAGCAGAGCAGTGATGAACATGCAAAATCCAAAGCAGACTTTATATCCTCCAGTCTCTCCAGAAGACCCTGTCTTCTGGTCTCCTGTCATAGCAGGGAAGAAACTTGGCACAGACATGGCAAACTGAGCTATAAAAAGGCTCTGTGAGTAATGAGACTTTGGGATTCTTAGTTGAGGGCTGTGAGACCAGGTGGCTGATGAGCCCACTGGAGTTGATAGGTAGCCCTTAAAAGTCTGTGCTAAGGACAGCCACCTGTCTTCAGAGTCATCTGACATCTAAAAATAGAGCCAGACTGGGCCACAAGATGTATTGAACACTAGCTTCAAGAAGCCTTCCAGAGGGCAATCGAGAAGCAAGACCTGCAAAATACAACCCTGCCTCCTTGCCCCACAAAGCTCTTTTTATAAGTGGAGAAACTGAGGCAGGCAAGGTGCAGAAGTTTCTGTTCTGGACTGTTAGCTCCTGTGAGTTCAGCTGAAACTGATAACAGTTGAAGATGCTCCACGATGTTTTGCTACTTGCAGTACCCACAGTTACTCTGTGATGGAGATGCTAAAACAAGATGGGGATTGACCTAAAAGGTACTAGAGGATGGGAGAGAACTGCTGTCCTGGGATTTCCTCTTAAGTCTGAAGGCTAAATTAGCTAGTGCAAATGCAGAAAATCAGAGAACCCTGATTTAATTTCAGGAGACAGACCTGCTCTCTGCTCACTTGCAAACAGAAAAACAATCAATTATTGAAGGATGAAGCTCAGATTTGAAGCTGTATTAATGCAGAGACTGAAAACCAGTAGTAGGAGATGGAGTTTGTACAGGCTGGGGGAAGCAGGACAAGATCTGGATGCCCACATGGCAGCAAACCCTGCATGTGCTGTGTGCTGGCTGCCAGATGGCTGCAGGCAGGGGTCATGCATGCCTATGTGTGAGTTCTCCCATGGTGAGATGAGGCATGCTGAATGGGAAGGGTGAGCATGGGCTTACATCGAGGCCACTTTAGCACTGCTGAGTCAAGTACAAAGAATGAACTGAGCCTTAAGGCCACTTCCAAGATGCGTGCCAAATCACCTTCTGATCACCTCATCCCTTCTGCCATAGCTGTGCATGGGAAATGGATGCATCCTATTGTGACATCTGTTGCACTCAGCCTGATATAAACAGAATAGCAGAGTGTTTCTCCACTCTCAGCTTGCCTCCCAGCCAGGGAAGCTCTCACAGTTGCAGCTGACCATGAATCTGTCTTGGTTCTGCTACGAATGCTTTATTCAACTCCCTTACTCACGTGCCACATATTAAGATGGGACTAAGATAGTGGGAGCCAAAATCTAGGTGGGTTTTGCCCATGTTTCCATTCCACATGACATTTCCAGTCTCTTGAGAGCCACTGCCTCTACCTCCCCCTCTTTTCCCTGCAGGCCAAGGTACTGTTCACACTCCCTCCTCCTCCTGCTGCCATTCCATCTGTATTCAACCCAGAGAACGCAGTGTCCTCCATCCTACAGCTCCTCTCTTTCTGCCAAGAGCTCAGTGAAATTCATAACCACCTCTGGAGAGCACTACTTGGGAGGGCAACTTCACCATCAATGCTAAACTGCTGCAACATGAGAAAAAGATGGGTAGACATCTCTACAGCTTATCCTGTCCTCTCCACCCTCCTGCTGCTGGAATTGATCCAGTTATACAGGGAGACAGGCAGCAATTGCAAGTGTGACAAATGTGAGAATGATAAGCGACGGGCTTAAGCTTTCTGGTCTGGGGAAAAATGAAATTGAATGACTGGTTGTCAAGCTTGCATCTCTTAGTGAAGATTTCCCCAAGGTGGAAGGCAGTGATTTCTGCATGGATAGCACAGCTCCTTCTCTTCTACAGTGGAAGCAGGGCAGAAATGGAAGAAGTCTAGCAGGGACTCCCCAGTCACCAATGCTAAGAAATCACTTTGTCTTTCTGAGACTGGCACCATCAGCTACCAGAGACACTTGAGAGAGGAACTCCCCTGCAGCCCCAGCAAGGGAACAAAAATGGCTGGAAATGCCACGTATCTTTTCTCCTATCTTCTTCAGCCAGGCAACAATGCATTCTTGCATGTTGCTTGCCTATTACTGTCACACTGAGTCCACAGAGAGCCAATAACTGTAAAGAAAATAAAGCCAAAAACCACTACCATCACCACTAACAGAAAACCCAAGACCTCCTCCAGCATGGCTTTATGAAGACAAATGTTTAACTGACAAAGAGAGAGGAGTGTAAACCTTCCAAAAACTCTACTGAAGCAGAAATTACTTTATCCACTTCATGTGCTTCAGTAGAGTGACAACAGGGTCACAGGTGTCATCAGAAAGAGAACCTCCAACCTCAGTGTCTATCAAAAAAGCCTTTATGCAGAAAAGACAGAAGCAAAAGTTACTGGAGGAGGTGAGCACAGTGACCATTTTCCCTAGCAGCCACTGCTCTGCAGTAAGTTTTATCCATGCCCAATCCCAAGCGTTACCTGGTGAGATGTGATACTCAGGGCAGGGTTGGTCAGCTCTGTTTTATCCTGGGACTTCTCCCTTGCCAAACGAGCTGCTTCTTTCACCTCCTGGAACTTTTCTGCAAACTAGAAGGGAGCAGAAAAGTCACTCTGCTGCTAAACTGAAATGTAGAACAAATAAGAATCAATGTCTGGGTTACTCCTCCCTTTGTTATTTATGTGCTTTCTACTTCAATTAATAATAAAATTGAGGAAATCGCCCCTACCTGCCCATGATTCCAGCACTCAAAACTGTGAAAGTAGCTAAATACTCACTTAGGAGCCCTGAGTCAAATTCATTTTGTAACAATCAAGACACTCTACAAGGATTACTTTAAACCATTTCCTCATATCTTTGCATCTTGAATTAGGTTTTAGCACACTGGGAACAGCACTACATCAGGACCCAATGTTTTTTTTTCCTCCTGAGTCTGAAACCCTGAAGGAGAGATCAGGGATATTTGTTTTACTGGGACCAGGTCTCTGATCTGCCATATTACCTGGGAGAGGTGCTGCTCTGAAGCAAAGCCCAATCCATATACTGTGTTGGCTCGGCTGTCTGCCCACTGTCCAAATTTCTGGGATGTCTTTGTGAAGGTCATGTTGGGGGTGATAGTGCTATTGATGATTGCCTGTGGAGAGAGACAAAAATGAGTTAGAGAAAACTCCATTCTGCTGCCCCAGGTTGTAGTGTGGGATCATCACAATCACTAAGCACTCTAGGAACTCAGGGTAGAAGTTCTCTTTTAATATACAGAACAGCTACTCAGGGTTCTGGTGATCAAAAGTCTTTCTCATCTAGCTATGAAACACAAACAAGTGTGAATCTTTTTGTCTACGAAAGAAAAAAATAAATAAGAAAGCAAACTTCATTGAGCCTTCACTGCTGGAAGAAAAGAGAAGATGCAGAATGTCTCTGGGGACTGAACAACTTTCTGATGTTCTTCACTGTCACGGCGAGTAGGAATAAAAAAAACAAGAAGTAAAAGGCTTAAACTGCACTTAGCACGAGCTATTACAGAACACTGTTGGTTAGGGTAGCAACAAAATCAACTGCTTGAGAAGACTGCAGAATCTGTGCCAATGGAGGTCTTCAGAAACAAGTCAGAAAAATTTCTATCAAGAGCAGTTTAGGGAGAATTAACCTTGTCTTGGGGGTAGTGACTGAACAGACTGCACCTCTGTTTGTTCCTTCTGTCTACGTGGGTCAGTTTTAGCACAGGATCAAGGCTCTTAGAAAGCTCTCTTTTGCATGCTCAGAAAGGAAAGAGCCAAGGACAGAGAGAGAGAAGAAAGCACACTTCTCATTAGCAGCACAGAGTCTAGTGTCCAATACTGACTACATTCAAGCACAGAGGCAGCATTTTATCTTCTATCCCTTGTAGTAAAGACACCAGAGTGCCCCATGCTGGAAAGTAATCAACGTGACACAGAAAGCATCCAGAACAGGCATCAGTTGGAGACAAACCTGCTTTCAAGCTGTGATGCTGTCAGCAAATGCTCCCTACCTTGGTGCCTCCCACGCTGATGATCCGGTACACATTGCGCGTGGCATCGTAAAAATAGGAGACAGTCAAGGCGTGTTTGCTGGCGGGGATCCAGTTTCTTTTGGTAGCAGGGTCAATTTGGAAAACATGGGCTCTGGTGCTGAAGATTGGCTGCTCCCTGCAACAGAAACGAACAGAGCTGTAAGGGCAGAGGAGAAGCTGAGCAATGGGGGAAGTGGACTGACTTTCTGCCACTTGCATTGCATGATGCATCACCAGTGGCACTTCTGCTATTTGCTCCAATCTAGAGATATGTGACAGTAGGAGCTAAGCACAGTAGCTCATATGGACATGGTAACAAAGCCTGCTTAACTATAGGCAGATGTTTTTACCTTCCTCTAGATCTCATCTGTCCTGCTCAGTTGTCTTCACACATTTCTGAAGACCACAGCCCAGTCATAGCAGCAACAGTGCCCCAAGGTTAGCAAGTGCACATTCACCCAGGGATCAGCATTCAGCTTGCAGGTAGAAACACAAACAGGACATCACAATCTCGTGTTCTGTTTACCAGATGGTCCTACACAACACAGCTGGTGTGGCAAAGTTAAGCTAATAATTAGTGGTTATATTATTTTTAGCCTGATTTGAAGTTTTCTTTCGCTGTCCCTTGGCATATGAGCATACAGTTCATGGTGACTTCACCAGCTATATGATTCTCTGGCTGCTATGCTGCTTGCCCTTCACAAGATATCTCTGACCTGGAGCTCAGGGAAAACGGATGGATGAATAGATGGAGGATGGGTTTGGGCTGTGAACACAACTGCCTTCCCCTCAGCACAGCTCTTCCCCCCTTGACTCATGCTTGGGAAGCACATCCTGCAGTGAGAGGTCATGCTGCAGGATTAAAAGCAAGTCACTTAAGAATGAATTAAAGGAAGCACTTCACCACACAATGTGCAGCTGCTGCATGAAAGCAAGTATTGCCTGGATTTTGTAACCAGTAATATCTGAACTGAACTAAGGAACTGAATCTCAGGCATCAGGATGTAATCTGAGCATTTCAAGAGGCAGGAAGAAATGTTTCCATGACACAACAGACCAGGTGCATCAGGGCTTGCAGTCTCCATTTTACTTCATTTAAAACCCAAGGCACTGGCCATTTCCACACTTCAATTTAGTGAAGCCTGATGTGGTTGGATATACCCCATAACTTCTCGCCCAGGTAAAACAGCTGCAAACAAAGCATGGCCACAATCCTGTGCCGGGTGAGTTCCTGAAATCCAGAAATTTATTTCCAGCCTACTTGAAGTTCTCACAGCTGCAATGAACAGAACAAGATGACTGACTGTATCTGGTGCTTTCTGAATGCATCAACAAAATTTAGGAAGGAAATAAAATTCTCCCTTTGACCTCCATTTTTCCAGCTTTGTCCACTGGTTACAGTCCTGACTCAGCTCTCTTACTCAGAAGAAGTCTGCACAAGGGTCTGGAACCAGATACATCTGAACATTCTGTGTCTGGTTTAATTCCACCACAGCTTTTATTTTTTTAAAAGGAGACTCAGATTCTCCAGGCTCCACCAACAGATACTATATTTTACATGGATCATGACTTATCCTTCAAGACACAGAATTTACAAAGCTGGGGAAAATTAACGTTTCTGTGCCTTAACCCCCAAGTCCTGTGCCAGTGTCAGAAAGAACAAAGGAAGGACATTACCTAGTTGTTGACATTTGTTAGTAAGTGTAAGACAGGCTACAGGCCAGTGGAGTTAGTATATGTCTCTCCTCCAGCAGCTTCCTTCTCAGGTCTCCTAGCTGGACTGAGACTCCTTTTGGGTTTTGTCTCCACAGTGATTCATTTCCTAGTGATGGAAAAAGTCAGCTGTTATTTATCACACAGAACACAGACAGTGTTCAACCAGGCAGCACTTTGGGGGTTCGTTTGTCCCAAACTCACAGAGCTTGTAATTTGTAATGATCTCTCATCACTGAGCAAGTTTTCTTTCCCTGTCATGGGAGATAATTGGGTGAGCTGTGTAACTGGAGCAAATCCCACAGGCAGCAGAGCCAGCTGTTGGGAGCGGGGCACGAGGAGCCTGGAAGGCTCTAATGTTTCCAGTCATGCACACGTGATGCTGGCTGCAGTGACACCATGATGGAAAGCCCTGCTCAGAGATCACCCCTCACACACACAGCAGTTATTCCTGTGCTCACCAGCAACGTCTGCTCCTGGAATCAATGGAAACCATCCTGCTGACTGCAGTGGGTTTCAGACCAAGCAATGGATCTAATAGCCCCTGCATGTGCCTTGACAGAGCTCCCAGACCCTCCTGGAGATTTTCCTTCTCTGACTGCAGTAACAGTGCTGCAGCAGCACCTGGGGATTACTTTCTTCACAGTGGTTTGCTTACATTTTTTCCACTTGCATGAGGCTGACTTGGCTGCTTGCTTACCCAGAACACAGACCTCAGGCATGCATGCCATTCCCTGCTCTCAGGTACAAGGAGGTATGCACCAGGTATGCTGAAATTTGCACCACTGTTGGTGTCAGTGGGAAGGGAGCTCTGCTTTCATGCCTTTTATACCGATCATTGTTGTCTCAACACTTCTCATATGTCTGTTCCTGCCTTATGGTCTTCCCTGGAGCAACAAGACTTCATGCTGTCTCTGACAGGTCTTTCCCTTTCAGTTACAAATGTGAAAGTCACACAGACTTCACCAGCAAGCTGAGAGATACACCAGATGTGCTTTGCTTCCGACAGAAAGCAAACTGCCAGCAGCAGCAGGGCACGTCTATGACTTCACCTGCCTACTTGGTGCCAAGGAGGGAACTCCAGCACCCACCTCCCTCTGAGAGAATTAAAATATGCAGAATCTCCCAAAATTCTGTTTCACATCTCCCCTTTCCTCACTGTAAACAGGAACAGTTGCTGTCAGTTTGCATGTCCCTAATAATGGATTCTTAAGATAGCATTATGAGACCAGCATGTTACTGCCTCCTCATAACCACCTGAGTACAGCAGCAGCCTGGCACGTGAACAATGCTTTCTAGGAAGCAGTTCCTGAAGCTCTGTAGGTAATGATCGAGGAGAGCTTTGTGCTCTGCTTGGCAACACCACTGAGATGTCCATGCTCTTTTTGCCTTCCTTGTGGAGGGGGAAAAAAGATGTTTTTTTTAAACCTAGCAAAATGATACAGAATATATCTAGCTAGTAAAATAATTTATTGCACAGGATGCAATGGAAGTGTGGATGCCTTCCTTTCAGTACTCACATTGTTTGACAAGGTTAAAGCAGACATTACACAACAAAAACTCTCCTAGGGTCTAAATGGTAAAGCACAAGAAAAATACTGCAGGCAGCAGTAACTGAAAGAGGGAAAAAAAGGCAAGGAATTGAGACTACAGTGGTGTGAGAATAAGGGAGGTGAGCTCTGTGAGGTCCTGAAACAGAGCCTTTGCAGCCTGCAGATCGAGGGGTACATATCTAACATGGCACCAGGGAGAATGGCTCTACCTTACCCTCTCAACCCTCTGAGGTTGGAGATTCATGATCCTTGAGGTCCCTTCCAACCCTGGCAATTCTGTGATTCTCTCTGAAGTTTCTCAGCAGGAGGGAATCACAGCAGGGTTTGGCACAGCTCGGCACAGCTGACTGGGTTAGCAAGGTGGGGGCACAAGGAATACTGCAGGGCACTGGCATACCTGCTGAAGGAAGTTCAGAGCAGGAAAAGCACAGGTGCTGAATGCTGTATCTGAGATGCATGAGCGAGATAACGTCTGAAGGACACCCACCTGTGATCAGCCTGCTTCTGGCCTCGTATCTCCAAAAACACTACAAAGCATTTAAAAATAGTCTTGAAAGTGCCTAGGATTCAAACTGTTGTGTTCTCTTTTAAGTGTCTAAACTGGGTTCACCACACATCCCTAAATGCTGCCTCTTCTTTTCCTGCTCCCAGCCAGGAGATCCTGTAACAACTGATCCAGCTATTCCTAACGTGTTCTTTGTAACACCAAAGCACCAGGATGTTGTCTGAATACAGACTCAGCTACCTCCTTTTGTTGATTCTCCTTCGAGAAGCTGGAAGAAAGTCACTGGGTGTCTGGGGATGACATGGGAGCAGAAGGGATGGATCAATCATAGCTGATTTGCTCACTGAATGGAGTTCGACCCACTGGTCATTAAGATGGCATACAAAAAAATGCATGCTGGTCTCATTTCTACCTGGATTCTTATATTATTCTCATCACTACAGCATCCAAATTGATTTCTTAATGAATAGCTGCTTATTTCACCATTGGTATGAGTAGATCATTATTTGTCCTCTTATTTTATGGCCCCAGTAGAGTAGCAAGGACTGAGAGAGCCAAAGGGACTGAGCTGGCCAACACTGAGTGAGGAGCCTCACTATGCTGGGACACATCAACATGCTGCCAAGACCCTGGAGGAGAATACCCTGCAACAGTGGCATGTGTCAAAGAGGTACAGATGGCATCAGTTCACTCCCTTGCACTGGTGCCATATTTCACCTGTGGGATATGCTGGGCAGAAAAAGTACCAAAATCTGGATGAGATTAAAACCAGTGCTGCCTCTCCAATTCCGTGTAATCTGAACACATATGTCAGTAGATTTACAGACTGTCCTTGAGTGTCCTGGCTGGATACAGGCTCTTTTTAGGCCTGTAAGCCCGTTCTTAAGTAAGATCTTCTGAAGAAATCCAGTGCTTCTGCAGACAAAACGTTCCAGAGAATCTTCCCTGCAACAGAAAAGGATATAAGCCACCTCCAAGGGAGGCCCCTCGAAATGGGCCTGCAGCCACAACTGTTCAGGGGCAGCACCAGGGTCTGGCACCAGCTCTGCTCCCCTGAAGCACTGCAGTGCATGTGCCCCATGGAGCAGCACATCCCCAGGCACCACGAGCCCACCACCCCACAATACAACATCCAAGCTGAAGCAGAGCTCCTGACACCAGGGAGTTTGTTGCCCAGCTCTACCACACAGACCATCTTGCAGAGAGGTCTCAACACACATCTACACCTGCAGCTGAGAGTCACCATTAATTCCTCTGCTCCTCTTTAACGATTTTACAAAGCATTTTCTCTAATCTTCACTAGATAAATACTCTCAATCCAGCAGCTGGATCTAATAACCAAATGGAAATTAAAAAGTGAAGTGATTTTTTTTGTTTAGACCATAGAAGGCATGGACAGAGCTGGGAACAGAGCACGTTCCCCACAGTGTAAAATGCTATGAAGCAACATCCTCCATTTTAAGGAATAGCTCGTGCTGCAGGATGGGACAGCCAGCCTTTGGAAGAAACGTTCAGCAAAACATTCATCTCTGTGCCTGAATTTCAGCAGCACTGTGGCAGCTCCTGCGTTTCATTGTGTGCTGTCTTCTCTTTGTCACACCCCAATTTCAGCTGCCTGTTGGGCTCTTTACACAGCATGGTCTTCTCAGCGAAACGATGCTTTGCTGCGTTTACTTTTGGGGAGTATTTCCAGTGCAAATACCACCTCTTTAGGAAAATCCCATTTGACAGTTACAGGCTTGCTCCCCTCAGTGGGTTCCCAACCCTAAGGGCAACTGCTAAAATACAGCCTTCCTGCCAGACCTCTTTGAAAGGAAAAGAGGGAGAAGAATAAACCCTTTTATTATTTTTTTCTTTAAACACTCTTTGCTTCAGATCTTTTATGGCACCCAGCAACGTCTTTGCTCAGTAGCTTCTACACAGGGCGTGGGGAGGTGTTTCTGACTGCACCACTGCATTTGGCTGATGCTTTGTGTCCTTGTTTTTCTCCATTTTTCCTGTGCAATCTGGAGGATTTTTCCTACTGAGAATCTTTTATTTTTTTTTCTCCTTAGTAATTCTGGCCTCACAATCCTGTCTACCCACCCGAAACACACCTATTTAGTTAACCAAATTACTTACTACCTCCTGCCCACCTGCCCCCTTTGCTGCATGACCAGAAAGAAATCTTGTTATGTGTGCTTTGGAAAGGAAAGCTTTTAGAGTCACCATTCCCTGAACAGATGCTGCTTTAAAGCAGCAGCTGGGATGTGCTGAGGAGGCTGAGCTTGGTTCTCATTAACTGCATTTGCCTTGGTGTTCCTGGATGGGGTTCAGCCAAGGGCACCTCTAGAGGTTCACGTGCTGTTCCCCCTCTCTCTCACTGCAGCTTCTCTTTGCAGGGACATTCATTTACTTGTCAGACAAAGAAGTCTCTGCGTTTGGATGCAGAGAGGACGATCATTTTAAACACCTTGCTCTGCATCCAGGCAGTCTGTAGTCCCCCTTCATCTAAAAACCAAAACAAAAATGCCATATGAGAAAGCACAAAGTACCATATCAGCAGAATCATTTGTTTCTGTGAACTATAGGCACAACAGTGCACGGGTACCAGGGCAGGGAGTGGCTCTGGGGTGTGATAGCAGCGGGATACCTTCAAGAGCACAGAGACCTAGGAACACATTTTTGCATCGTGCCCTGTGGCTGGGCCCAATATACAGCCATGTAAGTCCCCAGAAAAGAACTCATCTGATAAAGGTCCACAGACAGCGTTAGGTAAGGATTTCCCAGCTGTTGTGGTGGGAACTTTGCAGTTCTCGCTGTAATCTTTCCTAAAGTCCTTTTTCTCCAAGGACGACTTTCCTGGATGGGTCCAGCTTGTGCAGAGCAGAAGGGGGGGTACGTGAGAGCATGTGAGCACCAAAGCTATGAGGCTCAGCTCTGGCGCCCGGCCCAGCACCACGCTGAGTCAGCTGGGAGGCCGTGCTGGCTGCGTCAGGGCTCTGCCTGCTGCTGATCAGCAGCCAGCACTCTCATGTGAAAAAGCCCACTATGCAGCGTGGTGCTGGGTAATTTGAGGGAGGGACTGGGGGGGGGAACGCATTTCAGCCCGCCAGGACCCAGTATTTCAAAAGGCAGAACTGGAGCATAGAGAGGATGTGAGAACCAGTTTCCTCCTCCACTGCTGTCTGTCTTTGTTTCCTTTTATCTTCCCTCAGCAGCCTGAATAGCTGATGACTGCATGTCAGTGCTTTCTGAGGAAGTGTGGACTAACAGGACTGCAGAATCAAACCTCATTTCTTTCTCATTGCCTTTTTTCCGAAAATCTAACTTTTCCCAAGTCAGGGACTGGGTCTCACTACCTCCACAGCCTGTGGAAGCTATTGCTTCGTCACAAATGGGTGCAGAGGTTCTGCATGGATACTGCCTGCCTGGGATTTGGGTACCGGCCTGCAGGACATGATCAGTAGACACTGAACTGCTGTAGTAACAAAGTTTGGGAAGGCTCACTCACAGCCCTTTGCTCCAACCACCAGGCAGGTTTTCAGGCCCTCTTAGCTACAGCCTTGCTTACATCCAGTGCTGCATCAGGTCACCTTGGGCAAAATGCTTAGATGCTGCTGGAGTCCAGGTGGGACCAGCAGAGGCCAGACTTCTCTACTGGCAGCCACGCAGGGAAGGCTGAGCAATGAAGCTCCAGCAGTGTTAGCTGGAAGCTGGCTGTGGGCTGCTTTCCCTGTGGCCTCCCCCAACTCCCAAGAGATTACCCAGCAGGGTTTAGCATAGGAATGAAAAGCAGCTGCCTCCTGGCCTGCCTGCAGATAAAGGGCAGCAAAGGAATCCTGGATGAATATGCTCCTGTTGGGAACAGCAGCAAGCACGCAAGGTCAGGCACAGGGAAGGGGATCAAGGGCATTTAAAGACATACATATCCTTGTTATTTTTTTCCCCTCTCTCAGAAAACAGTCTCTATCTACAGAGCATCTTGGTTGCTGAACACTGCAACTGGGTGTCTGTAACACAGCCTACACGTTCGCTTTCCTGAGACAACTATTACTTCTGCTGCTGAGCATCAACAGTTCTTTCTTTTGACGCACGCAGACCACTGCTGGAAGTCTGTAGAGCAAATACAGTTAGAAAACAGCAGAGCTAGACTGAAACTAAACAATTCTTCATACATTCCAGAAAAAAAAAAATAAAAATGTTCAGTAATAATTAGAACCAAAGAAATGGACATAGACATGAACTCCAAAATGTATTCTACCTCTGCTTCTTGACTGGAAGCCACAGTTCCCATCTGACTTCCAGGACACATGCCTGCTTTCCCTCAGATAGCTCATGGAAGTCTGCTGCCATTTTCAACTTGCAAGAGCTCCAGGAGCACAACCAGCACAAGGGCCAGCTCTAAGTGCTGCTCACAGTGCAGTGGCACTACACACATGAGCAGGTGAATCTTTGATAAGTGGAGCAAATAGGAAAACTACACTGATCAAATTAGGAGTCGTGACTACTGGTGCTTCTGTCTGCCTACCAGTTAGTAGAGAAATGTAAGTGCCTACTGAAGTCTCAGCTGGGATCTAACTACATTCACTTCCCTCTCAATCAAGTGTTATTTACAACTACACTCTTCAGAGAGGAAGTGCTGATGTGTTAATACAAGAGTCCAAGGACAGTTTGTCTGTGAAAACCAGAATGTGATGTTACCAAAAACATTCAATATGGAGGAACAAAGCCCAGAATCCCTGCTTCAAAAATAAGTTCACTAAAACCAACAGAACAAGCCAGAACGTCATTTGAAGGTGGTACACTTTTAATCTCTCCTGTATTGAGAGGAATCTAAATGCTGCTGAAAGCTACTTAATATCCCATGTGATCAACATACAAGTAAGAAGACATTTTAACTCAGGAGATAAGTGGAAACATGGAATTTTGGGTGGAAATGTCATCTCTGGCTTAGTTTTGTTAGTACACTGCTACAGTTACACAGGGAGATCTAAGCAGACTGAAATGACATCAGCTCAGAGATTCTTCCCTGGGAGCTGATGGTCTGAAATCACAATGACTGCTGGATGTTAGCTGTGGCTGTTCCAAGCAGGGTTCATTCCCTACCTCTGGGAAATACACTTAGCTGTCACAAGCTGCCTGCCTGCTACGCCCTTCCTGGCACTTCCAGAAGTTTTACCGTAACTTTGTGCATCACAGGAAAAGTTACAGGAAAACAAGGCCACTTTCTGCTTTAACCTGGATTAGCACATACCCTGCCAACTTCAAAGGATCTGTGCCTGCTTCACACTGCTGTCGCTTTTGATTCCTCGCCTCTACCTGGTCTGTGTCTTGAAGGTGTGTCTGCCTGCTTGATTGCTTTATCTAGACAGTCCGGGAGGAATATCAACAAGAGGAAAACAAGCCTCTAAGAATCTCACTTATTTGTCTTGTAATGCCAAACCCACACAATTGGAGGGGGTTGATCAGACAGATCCAGTGTGCTTTAAACAGCCATGAAGAGTTTAATACACAAGAAACTCCCAACAGTGTGTCAGGTCCTTCAACGTACATGACTGAGATTTATAAATAGGGCATAAATTAAATACCAGGCTAAGCTCCTGTTTCCATGCCAAAACCCACTGCCACATCCACACAGCATTATTTCATTACAGGAACACTGGAGCAGAGGTTTTCAATCAGCTGTGTACCAACTCAGAAATGCAAACAGGATCCATTTTCCTGAGCGCCAAAGTGACCACAGCTGAATCAAATCTCTTCACTCCCAACTTCTGGAAAAGTTTGTGAGCACAGCCCAGACCCACCCAGCCTCACGCTTTGGGTTTTGTACAACATGTGTATCACTAGAGGCTTCCCTTACATACGAGTTCATTTACAGAAGTTGCAGAGACTTGCAATTATCTACTTTCTAACAACCAAAAATGAAAAGCTAAGTCTAAACTTTAAAGCTCATGGTGTGGAGGAAAAAAAAAAAAAAAAAAAGGAATATAAAACCATTTCTTTTGCAGTTACGTTAAAAATAGCTCAGCTGCCATGAATAATAAATGCAATTCAAGAATAATAAAGTGCCAGTCTCACCCCATCTCTGCCTAGGCGTCAGCTTCTTTTCTCTCCCGTCCTTTCTTCAGCTGCCTTAGATTCTCTCCACGTTGTAATTTATTTCTCCCTTCCTCTTTCTTTCTCTGTCTCTCTCCGGATCCGGATGCTCTTTAAATTTCCTCCGGAATTTCACTTTGAAATCTCCTAGCTTTGCAGTCGGTTTCCAACGCCCGGCAACCCCCGGCCGCGCGGGGCAGTGAAGGCAGGGGCGGCCCGGACCCCCCGACCTGCGGGAGCCCAAACCCAGCGGCGACCCGCGGCGCTCCGCGGGGATGTCGGGCGCTGACCGGCCGCTGCGCTCCCCAGCAGCTCCCCCTGCGTTCTGGCTCCCGGGCTCCCTCCTTCCCTTCAGCATGGGAGGGGAGCAGCAGGATTAGGTGGTGCTTTTGCAAGCGCTTTTAGACAAAGCCGTCTGCTCGCTGCTGCTCCGGCAGCCCCGCAAGTTTCTCCCCGCAGCCCAAAAGCCCAGCCGCCGCTGCCGCCTGTCCTCCAGGATCGCGATTTCTTTGTTCTCTCTTTCGTGTTGTAGTTTTTTGGGTTTTTTTCCTTCTCTCGCCTATTCGTTTCCTCCCTCTACCAACTGCCCCATCTCGGTCACATTTCTCCGCTCCTTCTCTCGACTTTATTCCAGGGGCCGGCGCCGGCTCGGCGGCACCACCTGCCGGGCACAGCGAGCAGAGCTGGGCGCTGCCGAGCAACGCGGGCACAGCCCAGGGCACAGCGGGCACAGCTCAGTGCCACAGCCGGGCACCACAGCCGGGCACAGCCAGGCACCACAGCCGGGCACAGCTCAGTGCCACAGCCGGGCACCACAGCCGGGCACAGCCCAGGGCACAGCTGGGAACCACAGGCCAAGAGCTGCTGGATCACGGTTAGTGAAGGGGCTCTGGCTACCCGGAGAAAACAGAAAAACAACAACAACAAAAAACAAACCAAAAACCCGTGTAATCTTATCTAGATATATGCTATCACAAACAGGTCGCTGCTTGCTCTGTCTTTCATGATGCAGTTCATACAAGTTAACAGATGCCACGAGTACACTTTTAGGAAATAGCAAAACACCCCGGGAAGAAGGGATGCTGGGCAGGCTTGGGGAAGGAGCCTGGGTAATTAGAGAGCAGGCAGTGCTGCTGCTGCAGCCCAAGGAGCCAACGCAGCCCTCTGCTGAGGTACCCAGGGGCAGAGAGGTGCCCAGCTCACTGAACAGCAGCAGAGGGCTCACAGCAAAGCCACGAGAAGGAACAGAACTGCTCCATTTTGAAAGAATCAAAGTGCTGAAATCCATTAATCAAAGAAAACAGACATGACTTTAACACAGCCATAAAAGCTCCCCGGCAGAAATAAACTTTAAACGAGTGCTTTCCAGTTGAGGCAGCACAGCCACGGCACGGCCTGAGGGCTGGGAAAGGAGCTGAACGGGTCAGCCTGGGGAAAAGCAGCATTTCCAACCACAAGGGCAGACACAGCAGTGGTGTGGCCTGCTGAAGGCAGCAGAAGGCCCATCCAGGAATGGATATTTCACACCTGCTCTTTTTTAGCCTTCTATCCAACAGCTCAGAGTAGAGATTCTGCACACAGCAGCTGTTCTGGCTGCTGCTTGCGTTCTGTAGGCAAAGCCCGAAGTGCATCCAGCCTGGCGTTCCCACATGTAAGACAAACAGGATGGAGGCTTGTGAACACTGCGTGTTTTGTCACTTGGGACACAGATCAGAATGGAGTGGTATCAACTACACTGGGCAGGGTGAATCGGTTCTACTGCCTGCAGTAATTCTCAGCTTTAAGTTACAGCAGTAACTGAAGCTGTGGATGAGTGCAGGAGCACACATGCAGTTTTACAGGTTTTTAGAGCAGGTCCAGTAACGAACCTGAAGTGTGGCTTTGGCACAACAGCATTCCTGCATTTCCTCTAGCAGTACACTCAGATCCTCACTGAACACCACCACTCCTCACCCAGCTCCCACAAATGCCTGCATCGCCTTAAAACGTTCCACTATTCTAACAAAGCCTCTCAGAAGCAGACAGCGCTGCTGAGCGATGCTGCTGGATCATCCCCCCCTCATTTCTGCTCTTTACTTATCAGGGCACTTTAATGGGAAATGTTCCCAAGAGAGATTTTGTTAATCCCATGCAGTTCTGCACATTAATTTCTCCACGCATTAACCATTTTAGAACTTGCACCAAAATAGTAAGCTTTGTACTAGTAATTTTACAATAAAAGGTGGGAGCAGTGCTCATAACTCAACATTAACAGCACAAACATGAGCGATACCAACACTTCATACTCTGCTTTCAGCATTTCACCTCCACTCTTTCCCCTAGGGCATTTAAAAGGGAGGTTTACTGAGACAGGTGTAATTCTTTGTCTGCCATGTCTTCTCTGCTATTACTCACATTTGGGGCTACAGTTTGCTGCCAAAAAATTTTAAGCATAACATCAGATGAAGTCTGAGCCCTGCTTGAAATGATGGCAGCAGCTACAAGCACAGGCTGCTGGAGCCAGGAGAGCTGAGCTGTGCTGGGGGCTGTGGGGAAGGAATGTTTGCACAGGGCACTGCTGTGCTCAGATGGGTCACGGCAGGACATGAGTTGGAGCAGCTGCAGATGGTTGCTCTGAGCTGGCAATGGAACCAGCAGCTCCAGCTCTGCCCTGGCACCGCTGAGCACCAGCAATGCTCCTGCTTCCTATTCTCTGCCCTTCCTGTGTGCAACATGGGAAGCAATGACACAAGGACTAAAACTGCACTGAGGATACTACTGAAAGTAGGGCACAGTACCTTTCATATCGACCTGTTAACGGTAACTTATCTGCAACTCTTAGAAGCTAATTATTTTACACGCTTAAATTAGGGTAATTAGATCAGCAGGAATTGAACTAAAACCAAATGCTGGTAGCCTTGTGAGGATTTTCTGAAATGGGGTTCTGTATTCCATCTGCACCTCCTTCCACTGAGGGAAGTGACTGAGTCCCCAGAGGGAAGAATGGAAATTTTGATCACTTCCTACGTTATCACACATCACCATCCCATCTGCATCGTAAATTTCCATGAAACCCTTTGCGTGCAGGGAGAAGGAATATAGGCAACAAAACCCTGCAAAGAAGTAGCTTCCCTTTCAAACTCTGAGACACCTCAGAGCCCCTCGGATCCTGTTTCTGCTTTGCACTGGTAGTTACTGACAGGCATCACAGCTCACCGACAGAACGGTCTTTAATTTCCAGATGTCCATTTCAGAGTTCTTGTCCACATTCTGAGTGAGGCAGCACAGCCTTCTCGTCAGGAATTTCAGAGGCAGAGAATCCGTGTTATTTTCCAAACGAGAAAATGTAAGATAACTTTTATTTGAAAAAAGAAAAAGAGTTTCAGAAAAAAAATACTCAACTTTGGCCTTTAACAAAAGGAGCTACACAGTTTGAGTTCTGACCAAACCTTAGAAATAAACCCAGAACAATTTAGGCAGTATTTACGTCAGTTCATGACACTTCTGGACAGAAAAGATGCGTCATAATATCACTAAAAGCACATTAGAAAAATAAATGTATGGAAAGTTTTAAAAACAGTTAAATAAAGAGAAAAGAGAGGAAAATGTGAAGACGACTCAGGGACTTCTAACAAAGCATTGGATCTGACACCAATACTATGGTCACTGACAAGTAATTTAACCTGATGAAAAATGAGGGTAGTAGCAACCTCTTGGGGCATTGGGAGACTTAATTAGTTGCTATTCGTAGATTAAACACAAAGTCTGAAGGTGAAAGGCACTAAATGCTAAGTATTATTAGCTTCTGAAGTATTAATTTCTGTAATTGGGCGACTCCAACAATACAAAAAAGTGGATCAGTGTCAATTTTTGAAAAAAAAAAAACTTATGGTTCTAATGTGTCAAAAAGGCATATTGCTTTTAAAAGTACCAGCTGGTAACATGACTATGCCATGCACAATGCAGCTTGTCATCTTCAGTTCTGAGCTTCTGACTCCTACCCAAATTTACATTCCACATTCCTTAGAAGGAAACGTCATCTGAACCAAGCAACTCCACGAGCTGCACACACTGCACAGCCTGCACTGTGCTGCACGCCTTGAGAAAAACTCACAAGCGTTTATTCATTAAGAAAAGATGTGTCTTTTTGTACTGCTGAACTCTCTCTTACAGCCCCTGATCTTTCTGTGGTCAGTTCTGGATTTTCCAAGTCTGCATCGGTGTCTCTGGAGCCGGTGTCTCTGATCCTCCAAGGCAGAGATATATGGCCCTTGTAGAAATTCCAAATGAACAAGAAAAAAAAAAGAAGAGCAAAACCTGCACCCAGGAGTTTTAAAACAAGATTCTCTTTTTGGCTGCCCACAAATTTCTGTTTTGTTGCATCTTTCAGTAAATAAGTTGATACTGAAGACTGAAATCCCACAGCTTCTGCTTCATTACTGCTATCTGTTGCAGCATCAACATTTGCCTTCTCTGTACTCTGACGTGCATAAAGGGCATAACGGGCCACAGTGATAAAGAATTCCTTTGCTTTGGATCTCTCTACTGAGAGGCAATCATAGAATCCAGTCTCAGCCACTGTCGCATTAAATATTGCTATTCCTCCATCATAGAGGAGGTATTTAGAGTCCTTATCCCGAATTCGGCTCCCATTGAACTTCCACACCACTCTTGCCAGATTTGAAAGAGGAACACATTTAAGATGAACATTGTTTCCAAGAGTAACGAGGTATTTTCTCACATCATTCTCTGCAATTATGAAGATAATGTTTTTAAGTAAGAACACTGAAGATTGAGTTTAACCTATAAAACCAGATACATGTTCAAAACAAATCAGTTTGAATCTACCAGTCTGAAAACAGGTAATGAACACGTAAGCAGTAAAGTCAAAGAAATCCCATGATTAAGAGGTCCAACGCTGACAAATAGGGGTAAAAGCAGTGACAGATTTAATTGGACAGCTAATGCATCATGTGATGCACGTGGGAGGGATACGAACAGCTTCAGCTGGGACACACACATGCTTCCCGAGTTTCAGCCTGACATTGAGACTGAAAGGGTTAAGATCATTAGGTGGTACTAATTGTGGGTTTTTTTTCCTATCTTTATTAGTCCACAAAGAGTAACAGTGAGTATGATTGTAATTCTGTGGTTTTCTATAGTGTAAGAATCCCAGTGACCATATGCTGAACAAACATTTCAGTTGCATGATGTTAAAAGATTCATTTTTCAAATAAAAGCTCACATACCTACACTAAGGCAGCTGGAAGCATCCCCATATTTCACATTTTGAATTAAATTCCTGGGAAGATAAAAACATCAACAAAACTATAACAAAAAACCAGAGAGATGTTCCAACTTGTAAAGCACCATTTCTAGGAATCATCCCAGTTTTGTGTTGCAGACAGCAGGAGTGCACTTACAAAGCAATCTGTCTGACCTGCATTTCTTACCTGGTATCAGCAGACTGATCTGACAGCAGAACACACGCATGGGCAGGCTGAGACCACGCGCAGTACGGGTCTCTTGCCAGGATGCAATCCAAGCACTGCTTGTATCGCTGGCAGCCCGAAACTGGAAGCTGCACCACTGCAGACAGGGACCCCACATAGAGCATCCCCTAGAAATGCAGGAGGGAGTTTTTGTTTCATAATGATGAATGAGATTTTAGGTTGTTATTTTCTAACATGGATTATATTATTTTCTAGTACTTATTAAAAAAAAAAAAAACACAATAAGCTAAAATCCCTGAAAGAATAGATGCTGATATGAGAAAAAACAGCCCTGTGTAACATGTAAGACAACAGAGTTCCTTCCCTATTTCTTTTAATGATCATAAAGCTTGTAATAAGCAATATTCTTACACAAACATACTCTTTTTCCATAGATAAAAACATGTATTGTGCTTCTGTTAGTAGCTAATATGTGATGAAAACAGAATTATGAGGTATTTACAGGCTATTTAAAGTCAGAAGAACACCACAGAAGAGCAAGGCCTGAGGCAAGGTATTACAGCAGTCACTTTCCATACGCAGGGACAGCAGCTCTACCTTTTTAGCAGACAGCTGCAGGAACTGTACAGGCTCAGGGGACAGAAACAGCTGCAGCTCTTCCACAATGAACATTTCTCCATCGCAATTGAAAGCTTTATGCAAATATCCATCATCTACATAAAAATAAATGCATTTTTAACTATGAACTTGTTTAAACATTGCATAACATTTTAGCCTGATAATTCACATTCAAATTAGATGAGATGTAGCAGACATTCCTGGGCAGAAGGAATTTATGAAATTCTTCAAAGCAATGTTTATTTTTTCTTTTAATAATGTTTTTTTTTTTTTTTCCCCAGAGAATAAAAGACCTCAAACAATCCCTGAATTTGCAAATATCGTTATGTGAAGTCTCCTTTGATATGGAAAGTTTCTAAAGAGAACCTTTTAATGTCCAACAAGCCAAAACCATTTAATCTAACTGGTATGAAAATACTCAACTAGCAAGACAGCTTCTGAATGCAAAACTTCAAACAAAGCTAATGAATTCTTTTATTTTTTTGAAGTGCAAAAAAAATCTGTCACAAAATACATGAAGATGAATAATATCTTCTAAAATTAAAACCCTTACCTGTTCCTAGAAACATAACATCGTAGGTCTGCTTATCTAGGCCAGTAACTCTGTCTACCACAATCCTGGTGTAGTTTGAGCTCCTCTTCAGTAGTGCTGGCCTATCACCAATTGGATTTACAGAAGCATCCATCAGAGGGTGATCTCTAGCAAACTGCAGAACTTTGTCAGGCAGGTCAGAAGATGTATTATACCCCAAATTCCGGGCAAAATTATCGATACACTGGAAACAAAACATATTACAGCTGATTACAATTGCTTTTACATCTCAGCAAGGTATGTGAAAAACACTGAATTTTCTTCTAAATACTGGTATTTCCATTGAACTTCAAACAAGAACAACCATTATTTTCCTCAGTCTACAAACCAGTTAATAACCCCACAACTCCTGCAGAGCAGAACTGCAGGGCAGCTGTCCTGAGAGAGGGCTGTGACAGAGTGAGCAGCTCCCTGCTGATTAGAAACACAGCATTTATATTGGTAAAACAGGCACTAATGGTTTGCTACCAAAAAAAAAAAAAAAAAAAAAAGATGAGAGCAACTATTGTTTAATTAGAAATTAGAACAAGTAAAATTGTATTTACAGCACCAGGACGTGGGACTGGCACCTCTCCTCTAAAAGCCATCCATCTAACGTGGGAATGTTCCACAGTTACTGGGCCCCTGTAGCTTCCTTTGGAGAAGGCTTCCTGAATGCTTGCCATGCTGTATGCACAAACAGCTGATATGTCCAATCTGCCCCTTGGAAAAAAAAAAAAAACTCCCGCAAAATAAAAGCAGGTTTTATATGGGAAGAAATATTACAAAATAACTGATCACCAGATTGAAAGAACAAACGTATATAGAAAGAAACAGTGTAAAATAACCCAGTCTCCACAATGCATAGACGTATCTTTTTCAGGACAAGTCAAAATACATAATGCTATTTCTCTGTTGCAGTTTTCATGATTCCCTGAAGGAACAAAACAAAGACATTCACAAAATATTGTATTAAACAGGTTTCTGTTAAAAATCATATAACCACCCTCCAATAAATTGAAATAGGTAACAAAATGAGGATTTTTTTAGACAAATTCTATGTCTCTTTACCACACCCATAGGAATAAATTCTCCTCAGAGAACGGAACATGCCATAACCAGAAATAAAACTGTGTGAGCTCCAGCAAGAATAAGCTAACAGGTGAATAGATGGCAGCAGGTTAAGCCATGCAATGCTGATGAACTGCATTCTGAGCATCCCGATGCTTTTATAAACCATGCAAGTTATTCATGGCTACTTTGGTATTTTTTGACAAAAAGTTTGAGACACTTTGTCTTACTCAGAGCAGCAAGAAAAAGTCAGTAAACTGTTAAACATGAAAGTAGTTTGGAGTTCTGGTTTTGTTTTCACAGAACATCACATATACAAGCAGGCCATGACAAATGCTGCTTTTGGAACAGAAGATTAATTCTGCACCCTGAAATGTCAGGTATTTCCTGTACTGCAGTGTACACCAGAAGAATCCAGGGCTTTGTGTAATTAATTATGTAATTTTGAACATAATAAATTACTCCACCATCTGAGTGGAGAAAACATAACTCTCAAAATCTGACTTAGTAACAGCTTTGGATTAGTGTTCAATTGATGGTCTTGGCCCAGGAACCAATCACATCTTGTTTTGGAAGGTGATAATGTTTGCTCAGTCTGATCATGCTGTAAGAAAAACAAACATGGGCCAATTAAACACGCAGAGTAAGCAGCTGAGAGCTCCTTGTTCTGAGTTAACACCAGAAGGCTATTAAAACTGAAGTGAGAGCCCTTATTCAGCTCATCACACACTTAGCAGTACATGCAGCCCTCTATCTTACCACTGCTGGGAAAAAATTCCATAAAAGATGCTGTCCTGCCACTTCCCTCTCCTAAGGAAAAAGATGTCCTGAATGATACTGAAATGGAAGTTGAGTTCTGGAATGGAACAGGAAAGTCGGGCTTTTAAAAATGAAGTCCATCTTCTCTGCAGTAAGCGTTTTCCACCAAGATCACCCTAAATAGAAGAATAACATCAACACTGTGGAACACATAAAACAGAGATGTAGATTATCATCTGATAATGTTGCTGTAGTAAAAAAGTATAGCTGTCCTTTCAATACCAATCTCAGTTCTAAGACATAGAAAAAAGGTTTAAATGTCAAATGCAACGTGAGCAGCTGGTTCTGTTCTAGCATGAAAGAAAAGAGGGAGAAAATTCAGGAGCAAAACATACAGAATTTTGTTTGGCTAGAACAACATTAAACACTCAACTACAAAACTTCATCTGAAATACTGTAAACAAAATCTTTATATATCAAACACTAACTTTGCAGATACGGGCAATTCTGGACACCAGAATCTTGTCATAGAATTCAAACTCAACAGCTGTTTCAGTGAAGAACACATAAATTTTATCATCATCTCCATCTGGACTAAACTCACTTTCAGGTACTATTTCCATGCCAACAAAGCTTGGTTCTGAAATGCATAAATATAAAAAGCAATTTAAGTTAACACTAAGAAAACTCACAAACAACAGATATTAATTTAAAAGTCCAATTAAACTCTTTTTTGTCGAGTTAAGAGTTGAAAAGTATTTATGAATATGAGAAACTAAAAGAAGAAATTGAGGTTTAAATGGAGAGAGGCAGAGGCTTGCCTCACCACTGCAGTTCTCAGGCACAAAGTTTTTAATTCCCATTTCTGGACACTGCCAAACCAACATAACACACTATTATTACATTCTAGAGATGGTTCATACACCAATAAATCCTCAAGAGCCTGAAGTATGAATAAAAGCTTCTTACCATTTAGCCAAGAGGTTTTAAATTCTGTTCTTACAGGATTTTGCATGCTGCGAAGTATTATAGGTTCTGTTCCCAAGAAATTATTTGAAGTAGCTGAGTAAAATGCTCCATCTGTAAAGGTTTGAAGGAAACTAAAAGCATCAAGCACTTTATTTTAAAATACAAAGACAAATCTTAAGGAAGAAATGGGTTGATATTCAAAAACAGAACGAAGATAACAAAAATCTTCAAGGTTGTCCATCAGTGAAAACACACCTACAAAAACAGATGCATACTTCAGAGTTGGCTCAAAAGGACACTTCCCTCTGCTCTCTTCAGCTCTTCCTTGCAAACGCATCTTTGTCCTCTGGATAACCTAAGGCAAGCAACCACTTTGATAGGATGAAGAAAACATCATTCCCATGTAATACATTGAAACAACTGGCAAATGCACTTGAAGGAAAACGATCACAGAAGTTACTATAGAAATGTGAATCTCGTGCAAAAAGAAATAGCATTTGGGAAAACGTTTTCTTGGTGTTTCATGTGTTTATGATAGAACTAACCAGGAGAGTTTCTAATTTTCAACTGAAATATTCTTAGAAAGGCGTTTATAAATCTGCCATATGACTCGAGCTCCTTCAAGTAAAACCCACATTCAAATATAATTACCATGTGGTCACACAGCGGGTGATAGGCATTTGTCCCACAAACATACACGTGGGAATCATTCATCTTATGGAGGATCAGGATGTAGTTTTGGCACCTTATCTAAAACAGTGAAACAAAACAAAAAAAGAACACTCAAACTCTGTGGTAGATTGCGTTTGAAAACTTTCTTGTCTAAAAGCACACAAACAAACCCAGCAGGTTTAAATGAACTTGATTTTAGTGCTTCACTAAAAAGAAATGTAAAACTGCAGCCATTTTGTTTTTAGCTAATAACCTAAGGGAGGAAATGAAGGTTTCACCCACCTTGTCCTTGCCTCGACGAATACATTCCAGTTGTCTTTCCTGTGTAGCAAACCAGTGTTCCTACAAAACGGACTTCTTAGTTGGTATGCTGCAAAACTTAGCTCAAAATTATGCATAAAAAGAACATCTAAATAAACTTAACATTGAATATATTGAGGTAAATAAGCACTTTTCTAGATAGCTCTGTAAAGTGCAAGGTGCTGTAAAAAACAACCTGGGAAGAGGTATAAAAGAGGCTTCAAAAATAAGGGTTAGCAAAAAAGTTTCAAGATTTGAAATGTAAAATTGTATATATAAAATCAGTATACAAGGTTCAAATAAATAAAGCCACAGTCGAAGTTTTGCTTTGATTTTAAAGGTTGAAAATAAAGGCAGGTCCTTAACTTACCTTGGCAATTTCTCTGGAAATGTTATTCAAATCAAGGGCAGATATTACATCCCTGCCTCCAACAAACAGCCTATCAGTTTCTTCATCCACAAGGAGAGTGGAGACATTGGACAAGCCTTCTTTCACAAACATTTCTGCATTTACAGCTACAAAACATAGACGTTATTTTAATACAAATTATCACTGGAAACTCAGTGTTACATAATAAGAATTCCAGGTTGAAAACAAATAATAACCAAACAATGTGAAAGCTTATATGTACTTCCAAAAGAGTTTCTAAATAACACCAAAGTATTCAGATAAACATATGTATATTCTTTCCACAATTTAACACAGGAAGAATAAACAACACTATTATTACTACAATACATTTGGGCATTCCTCAGTCATTTAGATGAATGCAAGTACAAACACTGAGGTGAGACAGTCTATAGCATTCCTTCCTGCCCCTAATGAGAAATGAAACCCCAGTACTGTTTTATGTTTCTTTCTGCTCATCAAATGTCTCCTTTGCACTTACTTTGGAATTTCACTGTTTTTCTGGGAATGCAGTTCCCAGCAGATGCTTTTATCTCCTGCATTAATTGCAAAACAAGACAAAGGACAACAGCAGTGCCACCCATTTCCTGAGACTCAACTAGAAATACGTTCTTCCCAACTTTTATTCCTTGTTATTAAATAATCACAGCTTCTTCATGGTCCTGCTGAAGACCTCCAAAGCAGGCATCTCCTGATAATTCTGGCAGTAAACCTTTAAAGTGCTCCAGCAAATTCCAAGCAAAATCAGAGCGAGGCAGCGGTCACCTGCAATTACAGAAAGCACAATGCCAGCTTCCACACCTCTTTTTGTAAAGAATCTGTGCTTTTTCCGATTTCAACTGTGTGCAAACGCCAACACCTGAGGAAAGCACTGCTGTAAGCCAAATGAAGTAACTTTAGGAACTAAATGAAGTTCCTAAATCAGGTTGGAAACTTCAGAATGCTGTTAAATAAATCTGTCTGCCACCGTATTGTGACCCAGGCTGTGATTGTGACTGACTGCCATGGACAGACACTGCCCACACCCTGACTGAGGCATTTTCCTGGCCAGCAGCACAAACCATGGCACTTGAGAACCAACTTCTGACCAGCACTGCTCATAGCCTCTAGGATGGCTGCTCAGAGCACCACGCATTCACAGCCATCCCACCTCGCCTGCACTGCAGTGGACAAACCTCAATTCCAACCCTGGTTCCCACAGCACATTCCGCATCAACCCCTTCCCTCGGGGACCACACCCTGAGGATGTGGCAGGGCAGTTGCGTCCCGTTAGCCTCCTCCAGCTACACCTCAACCACACATCATCCCACCACGCCGTACAGCCCCTTAAGGAACGCCCCCAGCAGCCCACACCGCAGCGCCCGAGGCCGCTTCCCCACAGCCCACGGACCCCCAAGATGGCGGCCCCTCCCTCAGCCCCGCGCCCGTTGGCGCCCCGCGCCGCGCTCATGTGACGCCCCCCGCGGGCGGGCGGGAAAACGGTGCGCTGTGTGGAAACCAGAAGAAATCCGAAAAAAAATCATTATCGTCGGTCCCTAATTAAGCCTTTGCCTTTCCTGACACTGGTTTCTCGAGCGGCATTGGGAGCAAGATACTGATAGCCAGCAGGAGCAGTTGCTTTTCATTTCTGTGTCGAATGACACGCAAAACGATTCATTATTGTTTCTATTAGATGGTTTTATATACTGCTTATGCACAGGAGTGAGTTGTGAGTTTGGAAGAGACACAAATTAAATACGTGTGAAGCTGATCTGTGTCTTCCCGTTGGCTGACAGCGAAGATGAGCGGTGAAATGAAGCCCGGGCTGCTGTGTGGGGAGCTGTGCAAATTAGCAGCGTGCAGAGCCGCCGTCAGTAATTAACACACAGCGACTGACAGGGCATCAAACGAAGGCAGACCTTGCGGTTCTCAGTTCCCTCTCCTTTCAGGTGGTTTTACGTATTTCTGATTTCCCACCCAACAGCTCTGTCTCTACAGGAGGCCTTGCAAACTCGTACGGATTGTTAACCCCAACAACAAAACAGCCTGTAAGGAACTTCTGCCAAGCGGGCAGCTGTTTAAAAATAAGGTTTCCTTGCATTATATTTCCTGCTTTTCTGTTGCATTGTTATCTAACGAAACCCAACCTGCCCCTCGGAGCACGGCCTCGCTAGGAAGCAATTTTCAAGAAAACGAGCAGAACCTTCTAATGACAGGAATTAGGCACAAAAAGCTCAGAGAACACACCGTGTGCCGGCGCTTTCTTGAACAGCGGTAACTTTATTGCCCACAGACAACGCAAACATTTTCCACGCTTGCTGCAGTTCAGCAAGTCACCTACGTGACAACGTGCACAAAAACTCTTCATCCCAGAAGCCCCCGGTTGTTCTTTGAGCACGTGCTCATCTAAACTGTTCAGTACTGCTCAAATCTACAGCCTGGTGGTGATTGGCCGCTCAAATCTACAGCCTGGTGGTGATTGGCCGCTCAAATCTACAGCCTGGTGGTGATTCAGTCGTGAGACAAGCAGAAATAAGGATGGTACAGGACTTTGAAGAATTTATTTTTAATTAGAAAATATACCTGTTCGTAGCATAGAAAAACAATCCGAACAAATAACATTTGAATTTCTGAATCCAGACTTTTCTTTTTTTAGCGTGATACATCATGATGAACTTTAAAGCAAAATGGAATAGGAAAAAAGTACCGTACATTGATTTTGAGAAGTAACATCTCGGCACAGATGAAGCGTTCACACTAAGGATGATGTAGTGTTGGCAAAAAAAACAAACAATAAATAGGAAAAACGTAACTGGTGTTACAACAAAGGAAGGCCTCAGAGACAAAACAAACAAACAAACAAAAAAACCCTCGTATGATTTCAACACAATGACTCCAAATGGTGCATCAGTGACTACAGTTCTTTACTCTGTTAAAGCACCTCCCCCAAAATAGGGATCTCCTCATTCCTCTCCGATGAGAGCAAACATCCCTTCTTTTAGAACCAGGTCCTTACACGTGTAATAAGTGTTTAAAGGGAAAGGAGGAAAAAAAAAGAGGAAGAAGGCAGAGCTGGGACTCGAATATGTCTAGTAAATCTTGCCATAGGTGTCAGTGTAAAAGCAAGGGACAGGAGACTCAGCCTGCATCCTTAGCAAATAAATATGTGCACTTCACCTCTCAATAGAACGTGGCTGCACAATTGTTAAATTTCAGTTTGCTGCGTTTTTTTCTCCTCGTATCCCATCTAAAAAAAGGAATTCCAATTTAAAGGCAACAATAAACCACACATATATGCAGAAAGTTTTGCCGTCTTAAAGTCAGTACATGAAGAAAACTGGAAACAACTGTGAATAAAAAGTAAAACTGGCATCCTAACTGAAGCACAATAGTTCTGGTATTCGTGTGGAGAGTAACACTGCTGTGTATGGGTTTAATACACTGGAAGCCATGTGAAGAAGTAACTAAGAAATGATTTCGTGGCTGTTCTCAACAGAAGCTTTTAGCAGCACAGAAACAGAGGGACCTTCCTTCCCTCACACACTAAAATCCTGCTTGACATTAATATAACACTGCATAATCTCGATTCCACTTGTTAGTGCCAAAAATGATGCATATCTCTTACAAACGGCCAAACTCACAAGCAAAACATTTAAACCATATAGTGTTTAGTTCTATATTTATTGCAGATATTAAAAGATTAACAATGCTAACAGTTTTACTTACACTGAAAGGAAACGTCAGTTACCTAATAACATAAGCATCTAATGTTACTAGCTAAATGCTACTGCCAATTTGCATGGAACAGAAACTAGCAAATTGCTCTGCAAGATTAATGGCAAAACAAAACAAAACAACAACCAAAAACAACAAAACAAAACAAAAACAAAAATAATAATAATAAAAAAACAACCAAAGGACAGTAGACACACCACTGAAGTTAGTTAAAATGTTCACTGAAGCTTGCAGTCTTCATGGAAGAGAGCCTGGAACTAAAATAACAGAAAAGAAGCTAGTAAACTTTCAACAAGGCAATGTATCTGCATAACAAACGTTTCATATGTACATATTTAAATTTTCAAATCAGAGCTGCCTGCAAAAGCAGGTCAAAATAAAAGGAAATTCCTTTTGCAAAAGGAACATAAGGTCATCTCTTGGTAACACAAGATAAAAGTGGCAAATAGTAACTCACGTGAGAGCAACACTGGAATCTCAGCACCAATACTGCTCTGTTGATGTCTTGTCCAAAATTAAAGTTTGGCACAAGAAAGACAGACCATACTATGACTACAGCCATCCAGAGTAGCAGATTCAGATTTTCCCAATGTTCACTTTTAGTTTCAAGACAGCATTATACTCTAAATTGAACTGCAATCAGAAAGGAAGGTACCATTTTCCAATCCGGACACTAAGAGTTTTCCCAGATTGGGCAAGTAAGTGTTTAACAAAGGCACCCCAAATGGGACTGTGGCCAACAAAGTCAGGTTAAATCAGAGCAGCGCAGAATGCTGATCTAGGGTGAGAGACTGGATTTCAATCCAGTGTGAAACGACACTGCCTTGTGCCTTTCTGCAAGTACTGCAACACATAATCAAGAATGCTACCAAAACGTAAATGTTATAGAAGAAGTTAACTGGAAGTTTGCAAGGAAATAAAAAATTGTGAACAGAAAAACTGGCAGCTTCATCAATGGAACTAAAAGAAAAACTAATCCCTTTTGAGAAATAATTCAGAAGCCAACAATATTAGTTCCAGACTGTCACTGCAAAACAGACAGTGACTGATAACCCTCCTTTTCAATAGGCTCAAGTTTTAGATTACATATCTGCTAACCAGGCACAGAAGAGAGGCAGTGAAGAATACACGCAGTTGGGAACTTAACAGGTACCACCAAACACCATAACTGATGACCTTTAAAGTAGGTACAAAACATTTATGGATTTAAAGCATCTCCAAGTAAAGCAAAGCCTACAGGAAATCTCCAGACCATCAAATGTCTTTAATCAAATGCGATAACCAGATAAACTTATGTGTATTTATGGTCTTCATGCTTCAGCTTCTTGTTAACATAAAGGTGAAGACATATGATGTCCGTGGAAAAACAGAACTAGCAGCGTGGTATTTTTCCTATACCTGCCATTATGGTTTTATTTAGTGATCAGTGTGCTCCAAAGCAACTAAAACAGCGATCAGAAAATTACACCAAAACATGACACTGTTTCTTTTAGTTTCACAAACCCATACCATAAAGAAAAAGCTTGCATTCGTGATGGTTGTTACAGGCCAGAAAAAGTTTGTTGCTACAGAATGAAAACAAATAAACTCCCTTTCAACCAGCAGGGATTTTAATGGAGAGTATATAATGTTCTTTAAACAGCAGGCACAGGCATGTTTGTAACTGAAGAGCACATTTTCTTGTGTATTTGTCAGTTAGGAGCTTGAGGTGCTGCTACGCTATGGTGGAGTGCACAAGCTCTTTGCTCTGTAAAGAAGCATGATGCAGGATGAGAACATCAGCAAGACAGCACTCACTCCTAATAAGCAAAACATGCGTCAGCTCAAGATGAACTCTTTAAAGAGAACTTCAGTGAAGGTTTTGGTACTGTAACATTCAAGTGAAGACTTTTAGCTAATTTTAGGAAGGTAAAGATGGAGAAGTATGTTAAAAAAGTGCATTACATTCTGCCACTTTCAGGAATCCAGTCACAGAGCTCTTGTTGATGTGCTTGTCTGAAAAAGATGAATGATCAGACTTTGACTGTTTATTTGTAGTAACACTGCTAAATCTTTCATGTCTTCAGAGCTGCTTCACCAAGAAGTTAGGAATTGCTTTTTGTTGAAGCAGAGTAGGTTAATCCAGTCTTCTCTCTCATCTGAAATAGTCCCTCAGAATTAAAAGCTTTTTGTCTTATTGCACAGGGTTTTTCAATTGAAAACTTCTGCAAGGCCAATATTTAATAGAAACAGAAATTACTCTCTAAACTGATGGTCTTACAAAACTGATGATCCACTTCCAGATGACTTTTGATTATTTGATTTCCAAGTATCTTCTTCAGTATTTTCTGCAAACACACAAATCACACCTGGTCATAGCTTAAACTTCCTTGGGTAGGAAAGCTATTATTCAAGAATTTGTTGAACAAGAGCTGCAAACTTGGTGAAAATCAAAAAGTACATATAAAATATGCACTGCTTGCTTGCTACAATGGAAAACTTTAGCAGCCAATGTTTCCAAGGAAGATTTTAGCATTCTCAGACTCAAATAAACTTACTTATTCATCCTACACTTCAAGTATAGAATCCTGTATAAAATAAGCAGGTGGGTACAGATTCTTCTTGAAACTGGCATGTGGAGCAAAGGAAACTGCTTTATGCAGACTCGAAAAGCAGATGAGAAGATGAGCTCATCAACAAAATGTAGCAAAGTATAAACTGAACTGCCTGGTAGTAAGTTTTTAGTTTGAGAAGGTTCTTGGCTTCCAAAAGGAACAGAGCCAAAGCAGGCCAGTCGCAATGGTAATGTTGCTTTTTCTGTTGGTAGTAAGCCACCTCATTGCAAAACACGCAAACGTGGCCTAAGACAGAGGAAAACTGGCACTTCCAAGAACAAAAGCAGTTGTTTCTCCCTCAGAAGATAACATCCAAGTTGTTAGCTTGCACAATGAAATACAAGACTAACTTTAATCTTGGAAAATAATACGTAAGCGTTCAAATCCACTACTACAGAACAAAGTATTCTTCATAATGGCACTCTGCCGAAGACTTTCACACAGCAGCCTCTGCATATCCGTGCTCTTTCTAATGAGCAAGTCTCTTATGTCACACCTAGAAAGTAAGATTTGAGGTAATTCAGCAGCTCAAGGTAGGTCTGGGTTTTCACGAAATGTTAAGAAGCCAGATATACTCATGGAAACAATATTTTCTGGGTAAAAGACGACTTTAAAAACCTGGTATTTTAATGTTTGCAGGAATTCACAAACCAGACTTGTCCATTGCACATACCTATTTACTTGCTCTTTTCTGCCTGTACATTTGTATCATTCTTTGACGGAAAACATCAAATGCATCTTCTTTATTTTCTTCCCCTGCAACACCCAAGCCCTCCCCTGCAGAGGTAGCACCCCTAGGGAGTAAAATGAATAGTTAGAATATACTGTTTCTGTTACATTTGACAACGTGCAGAAGAGATCTAAACAATACCTTCCAACAGACACAACCTGAGGGAAAAGTAACTCTGCTTCGCTTAGGGGAGAAGGGGAGCAGAGGCTCAGCACCTGACATCAAATGTAAAACAATTCCCACCTCCCATTACACATGCAAACACCCACTAGAAGAAACCACTCCTATGATACTGAGGGAACGGTGAAGACAGTTACCTAACAGATCAAATTCTTACATGGACTTTTATATTTACCACTTTACTTGGAGTAGATAAGATCACCTGCTGAAAGCATGGCAAAAATTGCCTTGTTTCTTACATTTCAAAAGTGACAGAAGTCAGAGACTTTGAGGAATGAGTAGGAAACATCACAGAACTCTGGATGAAAGATGGAATTTTTACAAAGGGAACATAGTGCTGCTTGCTTGCAATTTCTAGTACCCAAAGCAAGCTAAAGTCTTGCATGACAGACATCACAGCCAAAACCCAGAGCTCCTGACCTTTCAGGTAAAATATAAAATAAGAGTTAACTTCCTTCTGTTCACCCAAACATGCCAATAGGAGCAGACAGGCCTCAACACCATCAAAACAGCATTCTGTCCTGGAAGTAGCAGATGATCCACAAGAATGTGGAGATACAGATAGTTAACAAAAACATCTTTCTCTAGCTTTATGCATAGAACACAGACATTACAAAGCTTAGTGAAAATTCTGCCACAGGAATGATCCTCTGTGCCAGTTTTATCCTCTGGGTTCATCATATTACTATTACCCATTAAAGATTTCATTACATGAAGTTGGAAAAACTTTTTGACCCATGTACTAAAATTAATCCGAGATCCTTAAGTAAAGAAAAATGGTTTTTATCTAAATTCTGTAAAACAGGCCCACTTCAGCCAAGTAGGTTGTTGGACAATTGCAAAAGAATATTCACAGACTCTAACAAGCAAATTCCACTTTACAGTCCACGTTACAAATCCTGGATACTGTTTTTTCTTTTGAACTGGTCAAGACACATAGCTGTAGCAATTAAATTCTCCAGATTGGGAAGAGTAACTTAAGATTGGTATGAAACTCCATTCAAAACACTGGTAGCCATCATTTCCTTGAGGGGTCACCTCTCAATTCATGTACCTTTTACAG